CACCTTCACCATTATCTGGAGCTCACATGCAGCCACGGTGGCAGTGCCAGCCACCCTACTCGCTGCCGAGGAACACTGCTCAGGACAATACAGGACCAGCGACGACGCATCCCACCTCCGCTCATTCCGCGAAGTGAAGGCACGAAAGCAGCAGCTCCGCGGGTGCTTAAGGTCGCGAGAGCTCGGAGCGCGAGCGTTTCAAAGCAGTACTAACGCGCGAGGGTTGGAGGCGATGACCCTCGTGCCGGGTCACGCGCTTGGAAGCATCCGCCACCCCAACCATACTCCCACGCCTACCGACACCAGTTGACACCACCGTATCGACACACGCACCCACACAAAAGTCCCGCCCTGCTGCTAACCCCCACACGTGCTCGCAGGTCAGTACCCCCACACGTCGCGACGCAGGGCTCAGCTATGTCTCAACTGCTGCTGCCAAAGAAACAGGGCAAACGCTTCCTCACTCAAACACGCAGGCAGTAGTTTCGCCTGCGATTGCCGTTACGCAAGATGAACAAGCGATAACCACACCCACGCTGCACCTAAAAAGTGCCTTTTCCAAAGCCCCTTCCCGCTCGCCCCACGCTCCCTCCCCCCCGTCTGTACGCGCTATCATATGCCCGGCCCCGATCCTCCTCCCAAGCCCACTGACCGCTCCCTGTACCCCTCACATCATGGCGGATTGCAGCCCGTGCATGTCCTCAAAGTAGATGAGCTGGTCTATGAGGTGCACGTATTGCATTCGCCCCAGGCCCAGCCGGTGCAACAGCTCCTGGCGGAAGGCCGTGTCATCCGTGACGCCCTGCGCCATGCGCTTGCGGATGTAGCCGTAGATGAGCTCGTACAGGGGCTGCCCAAGGTTGTACGCACACACCTGCGGAGGCACCGAAACCACAAACACACAGAAGGGCTGGGAAATGCGCGGCAGTGCTGGGGAGGTGCTGGGGTATTACCAGAGTGTTTTTGTAGTGGTGGTGTGCGCGTTATGATGCCATACAATGAAGAACAGCATCCAGAGACCTCGTGCGCACATCTTCGCAACCTGGACCGTACCAGCAGTCCAATTAAGCGGCACTACTGGACGGCAGCTCTTACGAAACTCCCATGTGCTTCTCCTGGGCTGCAGCCCTCCAAAGTCAGAAGTTTCCCAAACACCGTACAAATTATACAAACTTTATAAGGTTCAAGCCCGCTTGGCTGCTGTCGCAGCTGTCGTGATGTGGCGTTACGCAGGTTACGCAGGCGTTACGCAGACGTTACGCAGACCGTGCAGACCTAGGGTGCGTACCTCCCGCAGCGCCAGAATTCGGTCCGCCAAGCCGCCCCGGTCCAGCGCCTGCTGCAGCTGCGGCGACGCCAAGGAACCGCCAGTAGCCGCAGTGGGCGACGACACGCCACTGCCTGCACTGACCAGCTCAGCCTCAAACTCCTGAAGGGCACCACCCTCCTGCAGTTGGGCCGCATGGGATGTGCACGGGTGTACGGGAAGTGCGGGTGAAAAGTCGGAGCGTAGTAAAAGAAGCAGCACATGGTTGGTTGGCGGAGCCTCTTAAAACGAGAAGATATGAACAGCAACGAGGTGTCAGGTGATGGGAGGCTGACGAGGCGCGGCCCACGGCGGGGACGTGATGCGGCACACGGAGGAGGGCGGAGAACGAGCAGTTGCAGTTGGGAGACCTCAACACTGATCAAAACAATGACATTATTCCTCGTGGTGACGGAAATCGCCGTGGGGTCGGGGGTCTCTACGGCGACGACGCGGAGCTACCCTGACTCTCCACGGCGTGCACGATATGCATGTGAAAGGGGTGCCTGGGTTATAGGTTTATAGCTGTCTGACATGCGGCCGGGCCATCGCGCACACGGTGACATAATGACGCACCCCATAGTCGAGGTCATCGTCGCTGTCACTGACATCCGTACACCCGGTAATTCCTCGAGGCAGTCCCGCGCCTCCGCCTCCACCGTAGTAAGACAGCTGCGGACCGCCGACGTCGCCGCTGACTTCCCGCATGAGTGCATTATCGACGCCAACCCCGTAACTGACGGAGCCGGCAGGGTGCAGATGGTGCGGTGAGGAGTAGTGTATATGCTGCTGCTGCTGAATAGAGTGATAGTCGCCGCTGCCGACGCCGCCGTGTGCGGACAAGGGCGAGCTGTCCGTCGCTCGCCTGGGGGAGTACGGGACACACCGGACACAGATGCAGTAGCGCTGAATGATTCGTCCATGTTAGTACGGAGAGCTCACGTGTCCGAAGTGCCTATAAAAACCTATTGTTGTATGGCAATGCCGGTCCTTTCCACTGCGCCCGGAGCACTGCATTGAAGCAACAACACCTCCAGCTTTTCCCCTTTCTAACCCCGCGGCTTCAATCCTTCCTGAGCGCACCCACAGATTTTCTCATCATCATCACCATCATCATCATCATCATCATCATCATCACCAGCAGCACCGGCACATAAGCCCCACCTGGCAGTTGTGGCGACCTGATTACTTGGCGAGGGTGTGTACAGCTGCTGCAGCCGGGCAGCTGCCTGCTTGCGCTCCTCGAAGTAGGCCTTGCGCGCATGTAGTAGCTCTGCCTCGCGCCGCCGCGCCTCCTCCTCCTTGCGCGCTTTCATGCGGGTCTGCAACGGGACACGTGGACAAAGAGTGCGGCAACGGACGGCAGGCTCAGCTAGACGCAGCGCTCCAGGTGACAGCGGCTGCAATGGGAGATAAACAAGGTTCGCAGGTGCCCGTGGTTATGCCTGTGGTTATGCTTCGGGTCGGTCGTGGTGCGGGGAGGGCGCGCTCGGGTGGTCTACTCAATGGACGCCTCCGCCGGTTTAGCCTTGTCGAGGTCGAGGTCTCAACATAGCATCTCACCCATCATTATGACGTCAACCAGGAGCTTATAAAAAGCTTATATAGATCATCCGTATTCTCTTCAGGGGGGGTTAACTGGACAGCGGACAATTTAATCAAATGACTTTGCCTGCGCCTTTCTCAATGGATGTTGGTAAGTGCCACGGCCCTGACTCAGCAGTCCGTACCTTAGGGTCCAATGCCGCCATCGCCGCTGCAGCACCTGGCGGAGACGCGCCGGCACCGGCGCCGCCGCCCGCCGCGCCAGCACCCACGCCCGCGTATTCGGGAGACTGTGGTCGGGAACTGCGCAGCTGCCGCTGCTCCCTGTGCCGCTCCAGCGCCGAGTCCACGTCGCCCGCCAGGTGTGAAAGGAAGGGCGAGTGCTGGTGCTGGCCCAGCCCACAGCCAGGCTGCTGCTGAGGCCCCGTAATCTGCGTCGGCATGTCGCGCTGGCTGCTACGAGCCTGTAAGCGAGAAGGCATTGGAGCGGGAACGGCGGCGGTGATTGCATGGCAGAGAAGGTGTGATGACCCGAGGGAGAACTGGATTCGAAGACGGTACTTGTGGAGCCATCGGCTGCCCCATACTCGCTGAGCGCGAATGCGAAAAACGTGGCACGACCATTTTGCTGTGCCCCCGCTCGCTAAATGCTAACGCATTGAGGGTTCATGTCATGTCCCCCTCCGCAACCCGATTTGCGTCCCTATGTCCGTTGCGCCCCCCAAACTCGTCGCGACACAGGCTACACCGAAGCCGTTGTTGCCCGCCGTGCAATCAGGCCTCTTCCCTCGTCCACAGAATTGGAGTACAAGGGGCTTCCCGTTAAAATTGCTATGTACCTCCCATTGCCTGCCCCGCCCATTCTCTCGCCTGCAGCCGCTGCAGGGCCTCCTCCTTTTCCCGCCAGGATTTGCCGCTCAGCCCCGGCGGCCCCACCCCCCCTCCGCCGAGGCTAATCCCGCCGCCGGCACCAGCGGCCCCCGACACCCGCGAGCCGCCGCCCAGGACGGGCTCCGACACCTGGCCCGCCAGCGGCGGTGATGCTAGCGCTTGGTGAGGCGAGGCGGAGACGCGGCGGCTCACGGGGCTGCCATTCGTGGGTGCACCCGAGCTCCCGTGCGCGCCTCCGTGGGCCTTGGGGGAGATGTTAAATGGGAAATGAGGTCAATGACACAGTATTAGCAGGCGTCATAAAAGGCCCGCAATTTGCAGAAAGACTGCATTTTCCTGCCGCAGCTTAAAATGCGGCACCTAGGTCTATGGCAAAAGATGCGGGACCTTCTGTGCGCAGGAACCCCCGTAGCACGTATGACCCAGCACTTCCCCCCACCAACCAAGCGGCCCTGTTTCATCTCATACGTGCCTGCTTCATCAGTGCCTCCCGCTCCAGCTGTATCCGGCGCAGGCGGTCGTTTGCCGCTTCCAGCGCCCGGTCCAGCTGGCTAGGCGACATACCCGCACCGCTAGGCCCTGACACCGAGTCGCCAACAACCCCGGTGCTGTAGCTGTGGCGATGGAACGACGGACCCCTTCGGGCACAAAAGCCCGGACGGAGCGGGGGAGGGAAAGAGGGAGAAGCCGTGGTGAGCTAGGCCTTGGGCAAGGGTGAAATTGCCGGGGCCGCCATTCCGGCGCTACAAGGGAAAACCAGGCGCCCAGCAGGCAAGCCGACATGATGACCACCACGCAATCACGTCTGAACCAAGGACTGCTGCATCCAGCTGTCCAGCTGCCACCAAACCAACTGTTTGCGCCCTCTGCCCCCACCTCTGAACACAGAACGCCCATTCTAGGACCTACGCCGGCAGCTTATTTACCTAATGAAGGGTGCCGAACCCCGGACAAAGTGTACCGACCCCAGACGGGCGTCAACGGCCCAACCCACCCCGCCGCTTGAAGCTGTCCGGACTCTGTCCCGCGGCTGCTGCGTCCACCAGCTCGCGCAGCTCCACGCTGCTGCTCCAGCTGCGCCACCGTCTCCCGTGCGCGAGCCACGTAGTCCTGAAAGGCAAGGAGTCATGGCCAGCATACCGAAGCAGGGGGCCCAGGTTAGCACCATGGGTCCGTATGGCGATATAGCAAACAGGGGACAATAGCCTGGACAGCCCTCAAGGAAAGTGCACAAGGAAAGCGCAGCACCGCATACCTTCAGGAGAGGCATCTTGAGGATCTGCTCCGGGGAGGGACGCATCTTGGGGTTCTTGCACAAAAGCTGCCGCACAAGATCCTTCAGCTCCTGGCTGAAGCCCTGCAAATTGGGCGTGGAGAGGGACGTACACATTGGAAGTCCGTTGCCATGCTGCGCTTCGTTGGAGGCAGCGTGGGACTACGGCGAGGAAAGGAAGCCGTGTGGAATGCACAGGGCTGGGAAGCGCCCTGAACGCGATTGACCGCATGGCAGGGCTTTTCAACGACAACGGAAGTGCGTCTAGTAAACCCCAGTGTTGGCCTGTTCGGCCTAGGTCTAGGATACCTCCAGGTATCGTCCATAACAATTCCATGGGCACAATGCAGGGGTGCATGTGTGTTTTCTCCTGGCAACGCTGCAAGCCGATGTCCACATGGAGGGTCCCGGCCGATTGAAGCCACCACATGAGTAAAGCAGCCCCATCAGGCCAGGCCATGCATTTCACGTGCATCCATCCAGGGCCCCCAGAACGCGAAATGCAGAAGGCAGGAATCCCCACAACTTGCCTGTGGTATGGGCAGATGCTCGCCGCGAAGGATTTTCATGACAAGGCTGGACATATCCGTAGCATCGAAGGCATGCTTAAGGCTCATCATTTCGTACAGCACGCAACCCATAGACCACATATCCGATTTGAAGTCATAGGGCATGGACGACATGACTTCTGCGTTCCATGCACACGCAAAGTAGCTTGGATGAGTATTACGGCATCCGTACGGAACATCCGAGCGTCAGGCGTAGACATGAGCATGATTAATGAGGTGCCGTGCAGTCATTGCAGCCTCCGGCTCCCTGGTATAAACGAGCAAGTCCAAACCCAAACGTACCGGCGTGCCGGTCCCGTGGTTTTCTGAGCCCTACGTCGCCTGAACACCCTCAGGCGCCCACGCGCATGCATACATGCCTGTATGATCGCACCCCACCTGGAGACATGTAATACGGAGTGCCGATGATGGTTGACGCCAAGTCCATTGTACCGTTCAGGGGACGGCTGATGCCGAAGTCGCCCAGGCGGATACTTCCCCCCGACGTTAAGAATATATTTTGCGTTTTCAAGTCGCGGTGCAAAATATTCTTAGAGTGAACATGCTGAATAGCTAGCAAAACCTGTGCAAAAAGGTCGAGCAACTGCGGCTCCGGCAGTGCCGTCTTCCGCGCGCGAAGCAGCTGGTACAAGTCGCCGGCATCGCAGTACTCCGTGACAATACATAGATGTCCTTTGTAGATGAAGTGATCCACGTAACTGCAAGGGGAAGAACGGTGTTTTATAACCCAGCAGTTTTCGTCGGACTCCGCAGCGCGTGCAGACGAGTGACATGGAGATTGTGACGCCATAATAATACTGATGTACACTCAATTCGCATGGGCAATCGGGCGTACCCACCTGAGAACAAGTGGGTGCGAGAGGCTCCGCAAGACCTTAACCTCACTGTCTGCTGATGAATCGGAGCCATCTACCTTCACCTTTTTAAGAACGTATTGTTGAGATGGGTTGGCCCTGAGACTTACAAGGTATGCGGAGCCATAGGTGCCGGTTCCTAATTTCTTCACGACAAGGTAGTTTTGCATCGGAAGGATTATTTAATGGCTATCTTCTTATTAGCAACTGGTTCAGGAGTCGGGTCGCGAAAATCCGGTCCAATATTGACTGCAATAGTGCACCCGATTGTAAGGCATTATATTACAGGTTGGGTGGCATGCATACGTTATGTGAAGATGATGAAAATATCTACGCCAACCAATTGCGCTGCCATGTATGAATGCGCTCCGGGACCTGCGCCCCGGCCTTTCAATGACCTCCGATACACCTTTCCTGTCAAATAAAACCCATTGAACCACATGTCAACAAACGGACGGGTTCGCACATGCTGACAAAAGTAAGGTAGGACAAGTGTACGATAAACACCGCCAAAGAGGTGTCATTGACGGATGTTATGGTTCAGCTTTTTGGTATGCACTAAATCTATAGCCCATCCGTGCTAGGAAAATCTCAATCCTGCACGATTCCACGCTCTAGTGCTCAACGTAGCCCACGAATCATGCTACAAAGCACCCGATCCTTTGGCATGCTGCAAGCGCGCTGGATTGCTATTTTTTGCTGCCTCCACATCAACTCGATAATGGCACAGGCCTTAGTTGAAGTGTCACATGCTGCTGTACATTTTACAAGTGTCAAAGTACTGCCCGAACGTATACACATCATGTCGCCACCTTACCTGCAGGGTATCAGCCCCTACAGGACAGAACTGTAAACTACACTAAAATTGTTCCATCCTTGCGTCCACGTGGCTACAATTGCTCCGATACGTCATGCTCTGATGAAAGATGTAAACGCACACCGCAGCGCCATGAAAAAGTTATTCATCCACCCAACCCACCATATCCCGGTACTTTCCCCGAACCCATGTATTGTCATCCACATTCGCCAACCGCCACACGGCGCACGGTGAGCAAACATGACACCCAAGCATAACCTTGTCCGTGCAGTCCCCAGCTCCCCTTTACCCACAACATTGCGACACATCTAACCGCTGAACTAATGGATATAAGCCGTGCGCCTGGTGAGAAACACACCATGGGCGCGCCATCAAACAAAGGGACACATCAGTACGAGGTGCCTGCTAAGTCAAGCGATCCGACCTGCAGGGGATCGCGCGGATCCTTGTCCTTGTCCCAGCCGCTATGTACACGTCACCGCTGAGCGACCATCAAAGCCGCCAACTTTCGTGTACCATCTTGTGTGTCGTGCTTCCTGCCCCGAGCCTGAAGGGGACATTTCTCTACGTAAGAGCCCAGCTGGATACCCACTAGTTCGTCAGCCTGGCCTTTTCGGCGGCGCCCTCAAGCTCCTCCATGACATCACCAACTTTCTTTACGTAGTCCACCACTTGTAGAACGTAAAACTCGCCGTTCTCCACAAACTGGCGTGGCGGCTCACCCTCCTTCAAAACGCCCCAGACAACGAGGGTTTCGTCCTCAGGATCGGTCACCCCGATGATGCGCTCAGGCTCTAGCGACGGCACAATAACCGGGTCCTCCTCCGTGCCAAACTTGTCCTCGTACATCCTGGACGTGATCGGTGTGCACAAGGTACATATGCGGCATTACACATATGAAGGGGGAGGCAAAGTAAATGGTTCCATCTGAATTGCGCGTCGAATGGGCAAAGGTTGTGCATCGAAGGCCTGTGTTTTGTGCCTCTGGTACTTGAGCCTGGCGTTCAGCTAGCCTGCCATACCTAGAGCTCAGACACCGAAAGATTCGTGTCGAAACGTCAGCATCCAGACTAACTGCAGGGATACAAGATAATCGTACCCCCCCCTCATCGTCATGCCTACTAAGGGGTGTCTACGGTACAACGCTGCACATGGGAATTCCCGCACGAGCCCATGTGGCAAGGAGGAGACCAAAGTAATGCTGAAGAGGTGGGATAAGACGGCACAACAGGCGAGCACGCTTGCAGGACTTCCTCCCGACACAAGCCTCAAGAAAACAGAGTACGGGCACACCTCGCTACTGTCTCTGCAAGAACCCAAAACTGTGTTTACTTGCTGCTAGACATGAAGCCACGGCTCGCTCACCAGGCTTCGTGCCACAGCTCCTTGTCGCCCAGAGGACGAAACCTCCTTGAAGGCTCCTTGGACCTATAATTAAAGAAGGACACGAGTGCGCAGTAGTCTCGGTCAGAAAAGCTAATGCTTTTGCACAAAGCTTCAGAAAGCGAAGCACAAGACGACATAATCTGCTGCAGCATACAAAGTATGCCCCGCATCCACCTACAGAGCATTGGGCTTGGACTCCGCTGGGGAGCCTTGGCATGTTGTCAAGCTGGTGTGAAGGCTGCGCGCCTGAGCAGCAAGCTCATTTCCCAAAATGCCAGCCGCCGCAAACTGCGTGCATATCAGTAGTCTGCGTCATAAACATGCCAAACACAGCAATGGTGGCCCTCCTCAACCAGCATCACGACTAAAATGTACAAGCCCTCTTATCCGTCAACAAATCCCGTGCAAGACACATTACATACGCTGCTCCTATGGAAAGGAGCCATCAACTTGTGTCGCGGATGCAAAGAGTTCTGCCGTTTAGAGCTCCCCTAGTCCCGGCACATCGTCCCGAGAACCGCCGCACCTCAGAGGGCGCGGCCAACGCTCCTGGACCCCACCGCCGACTGCAGCTGCGGGCGGCCCTTGCAAGAAGGCCGGACAGGGCGCCCAGCCTATTCATCCCTGCCTTAGCGCTGTGCTACTTTCGGAACTGTCTGATTGATCCTCCCAAACTCGTAAGCACTAGTTCTTAAGCAGCAGCGCGTCCGCAGTTACACTTGTTCCTACCAAATATGGCTAAGACTAGCACATGTGTTTGCTAGTGCATCAAGACCCAAAAGGGCTCACCCCCGAGGGCCCTACGTACTTATGTAAACGTACTTCTTCTATAAAACTATAAACAACACGAACTTGGGTTTGCTTCACCGCTACATATCCTTCGGCACTGCTAGCAAATGGAATAGCCCATCTAGGGTATCTTTCGGTGACGTATGTCCTTCATGTACCGGCACGGCTCGTAACCCGACCCTGTGTGGCTTGTATTTTGTTATGTTTCAAGTGTGGTGTGCCTGGTGGCTGCTGGCTCGTTGCTTTGCTTCGCAATTTTGTTGACGGAGGACAATTCAGGAGGGTTGCAATGTGAAGGGTTTACTTCTTGCGGGTTTCAAAAAACGTACGTATAGCAAGCAAGCAGTTTACGCAGCTACTAAAAACCCGAGCATTCGGCTGTGCCCTTAACGTCCGCCGAATCCACAAGTCCCTAGTTCGTGCACGTTCCCCCTGCTGCAGGCAACCCGGACCTAGAACAACTAACTCAATCGGCGTGACCACGCTTGCGCTGGGTTAAACTTAATGACGCTGCCCTGCTCTGTAGCGGGGCTTTGTGCTGTGAATTACAGTACCAAATCCAGGATCCCCACGAAGCTTCCTGCATCCACCCCAAGCCAACGCAACCATGCAGCGGTGCTCAGCAGGCGCTAGCCTCATAGATTTATGAACCCATATGGATGCTGAACGTAGAAATCGGCAGTTATGCCGTTCCCTTCGTGCAGTAAGGACGTTGACGTAATCAACGGCATGCCGGCAGCATCCCCTGTGTGTCGGGAGCTATTCATTAAGGGGGCCTAGCGACGCTGCATCAGGCCCAGCCCCCATAAACCCACTTGCACCTGCGCCGAATACTACCAGTACTACTATGGCCGCCTACGACAGCAACCCGAATCAGGGACGAAGGATGTGGGCCACTGCGCAAGGGGTCCACGAGGGTATAAGGTCCCATCGTCCACTTTGGCACACTGCACGGACAACCCAGCGCGCAGCATGACGCATCAGATTTCAAGCAGGTACACCCGTATACGCATGCGTCCGTACATTAAGCATCCGTACAGAACGAGCAGCTTATGAATAAATAAAAGTATGGCACTAGCTTCATTGAATACCTGATGGTGCATGATGCTTAGCCGGAATTTCTTGTCAAGCCACACGGGGTCGTCGTAGGGCACGCATCCGCACGAAGCGAGCGCAGGACTTGCACACAGAGCAAGCAACTCACCTTCGACAGAGCTAAATTGTCGCAAGCGTAAGCAGCAGCGGCAACAACAGTCAACGCAGGAAATGCTGGCCTTTTCGAGGCGCCATTTCGGTGGGATTCCCTGGCGCGTCATGTCCCTTCGCGCTGCCACAACGGGCAGTGTCGGAGCCAGCGGCCCACCTGGAAAGCCAGCACAGATAGTTGGTAAGTTACAGATATATTTGTGCGCCGGAACCAGGTTTATTCATTCGCGTTGGTTTCGTTATTTATTGGGGATGTTGAGCGCTTGATTTCCGGCCCGCGGGTCGTTGAAGCTGACCATCCCTCCACCACGAAGGCGACTCGGGACAGTCCCTGCTTAAAACTTCGTGGTGGCATTGAACTCAGGATGTCTGTGAAGAGCCCCGCCCGATTCTGGGATGCAGGGGACTTCCCGAGCGCGACGCCATTTCTCTCCATAAGTCATTTTCTCCTTCCTATAGGCATTTTCACTGAAGCATGAGTGTATAAAGGCGGAACGCACTTTTTCCCTGGCAAACTGCAGACCGCGTTCTTGACCGTATTGTGGACCGCCTCGCTCGCGGCGAGCTCGCGCCCGGCTTCGACCCGCTATCTAGCACTGCAGGTAGCCCGGGTAGCGCGGGAGAGGCCGGCGGCGGTGAGCGCCAGGTGCCGCGGGCTGGTGTCGCCGACAGCGGCGGTGGTGGCGGGTTCGTCACGTACGATTACGAGGCCGTACCCAGGTCCATTGACATCGACGCATTCCGTCGGGCCCTGTCATCTGCGTTGACGGAGCATGTGGGTGCCACCGGTGGCGGTGCCGGGCTGGCGATGCAAGGTGGCGGTGAGATGGCGCGCAGGCTGATGGCGGCGTCGCCGACCGAGCGGCAAGCCATAGCGGAAAAGGTCGCCAATGATAGTAAGCAGGGCTCCGCTTCCCGTGACTGCGATCATGCGCATGGATGAGAGTGTTTTTCTTTTCTTAATCCGCGTCCCGTATGAGTAAAATTGTTGGGTCTACCATCACCTGGTGGGCTGCCTGAGACGCAGCGCACATGCGGCCATGTCCGGGATCACTGCTTGGGGGCCAGTGAGAGCCCACTTTGCCGAAGGATGTTTGGGATGATTCAGCACAGTTCATGGGTGGGGTGTCACTGCCCTCTGCCGCGATGAGGGCTTTCTGCAACTTGTGGTAAAGAAAAGCTTGGGTTGCATGCTGTCGCGCGGAAGCCGGTAGTCTGTCGGTAGTACGTCGCGGTACAACCCGATTCACACGTACGGCCGATAGAGCCTGCAATGCAAGGGCTCCACCTACGCCATCGGGGCGCACTTGGGTTTCGGGGATTTCTCAACCCCTGTTTTTTCCCCTCTTCTCGGCCGCGCACTTCGTTCTTTCCGCTACTGTCCTATAGGGATATAAGGTTGACGCAACACTGGGTTGCTGCATCGGTAAGGGCGAGGCGTTTTCCACGAAGGGGTCCTAAACGCACTATGTTTGACCGCGACAAATGCACAGCGAATTTCCCTAGGGAGGACTGTAAGACCTTTTCCCTGCCCAGTAACGACCGGCCCAGGTTATCCGGCTCCATCTCGTCTTTGGGCCTCCCGCACCGCAAAAAGCACCTCCTGGCTTTTGTAATACGGCACCATGACGTACGTGTGAGCCACGTGTCCCAACGGATGTCACCGGCTGCCGGGCATCTCCCCGCCTGCGCAGTGGCCGACAACGGCGTGGAGAAGCTTCTATCGGAGGAACCCGTTCCCGTGGTGCGCAGCCGCCTGGCTGGTATGCTGCAGCGCAGTGGCTTCTTTTGAGGCGCGTCATCAAGCGCCAGATGGACGGGGTTTCCGGTCTGCAGGCTTTGTACCCTGATGGTATATGAGGTTATAACGAACGAGTGGAATCGGCATCTGGATTGATTATGGATGGGCGCATACCGGCATCACAGAGCGTCACAGCACAGAGCTCGCAGCACGCCCGCGTAAGGAAACCACCCACGCTGTGTTATAGCCGTCCGTCAAGCAGACCCTCTGCGTGCGGCCCTTAGGTGTGGCAGGTGTGGCAAGTGTTAGCAGCTCGTTCGCCACAAATGACGTATAGCACACCGGGTGTTGTGCTGGGGTTCGTGTAGCGCGTGCTAAGAGCCTGTAGTCCCGACCGCCACTCCCCCCGCTGCTCGGGCCCCTCGTTGAACCGGTTTAAAGCTCCTTGGCGACACCTCAGCTGTCGTTCGTATCATTGTGAATGATGTAGGGCAGCATGCCTCTCCTATGTTCTCAACGTCCCAGGGACAGCAGGGAGGGGCCTTGTTTTTCCTGAGACGCTGGCTCCTGCCACCACTTAGTTTAATGTATGCGATTTTCCCATGCCCAGTAGTATGTAGTCTTTGTGGTTAAGAGTTGCGAAGCTACATGTTGATTTCTCATAGTGTCGATTTCTAAGCTACGTGTTATTCGTTTTCCGTTTCCATGACACGTAGACAGGCTGTTGTGACGCCTGATGTGCCACGGTGGATTGCATGGAAGGCCGATGTGCAAAGGGCGCAGCATCAGGATCAGGGGCTGAAGACCATGTAACAGGAAAGAAGACGCAGCAGCAAGTGACAACAGTAAGTGGCAACAGATGCGGCCTGGTGCTTCCTCAGCAACTTTTGCCCCCTACAAGCTCATCACCCGATTCCCGACTTAACGATAGTGCAGCGGCCATACTTTGTTATCTGCGCTTGTCAAGGCAGCGTAAAGGAAAAAAACATTTCCGCAAAAGGAAACAAGTTACTGGACCAGTTTGCCGTACAAAGCAGGAAGCGCTAAGAACAATCGTGGTGAAGAAGCACGCAATCCGACGTCGCGTTCAGAGCTTCCCCAGCGCTATGCTGCAGCGCGGCTTCCAGACAACCTCATGAAGGGCAAACCTGCCTTTGGGAAGCATTTTTTGTCATGCTTCAAAACAGCCATCACTCAGAGCGTCAGTATCTATCCAACCATTCAGAGGTATCCAATTCCCTTGCACTGTGTTGCACTGCGCAGCAACCGAGACTCCTGATGCTTCTGACGCGCCATGCCTTTATTTTTTCGGGTTCGATCCCAGGCGGACATCCCAACTAGAATTCATGTTTGCGACGTCGTCAACTCATTACCACGTCTGCCTTAGCAGTAACTCATATGGCAGCAACTTGGAACTATCGTAACAGTTGGCTAAGCACAGCATCCGCAGCCTAACCACTCCTGCACACCCGCTAGTCACCCGACAGGGACGGCAACCCATCAGGGAAACACGTAGTGCGGACCCATGGGTCACCAGCTCCACACCAGCAGTGACACAGCTTGTCATCAGTGACAACGACGCGCCCGATTACTCCGCAACGGGGATCAGAATGTCGTTGGTGGCGAACCATGGCAGGCACCACGGTGGGTTGTAGGCGCAGTATTGCACCGCGTGAGGCTCGTCAGATAGCTTGACGTCGGCCTTCGCTGCAGCCGCACGCAGCTCCTGCTCCTTCACCTTGGCCACAGCCTGCGTCATTCTGCCGTGGAACCGGATCGCCGCAAAGGTCCGCTCCGGAACCTCAAACAATCTCACGCGCGGGTCTTTAGGAGCCGGCAGGTCCACCACACTCTTGTACTGGCTGGGCATGATGAAGCTCATGACGCGCTTGTTGCCGCCGGCGGGGCCTTCCGAAGCGCCGGCAGCCTCGGTGGTCCCGGTCTGCATGACGACTGGCGCAGTCATGGCGATCTTCTCTGACGGCCCCTCTGTGGCCCCGGTCTGCATGACCACAGGCGCCGTCATGGCGACCTGGGCGGATTGGAGTAAGCAGGGAACAGCTCGTTTGCAGACCCTGCCTGAACATGACGGTTTGGGAAGCAAATGCGATCTGCAGGTAGGTGGCGCTCCAGGGATTGGCCGGGCCCTGGGGCCCTGACTGCACGCATGGCTTGCGCGTTACGACGGTACCAATTACTGCGGCATGTTGCTAGCCTGGTGTAAAAACCAAGGCAGATTTAGCCGCTTGCACGCAGGAGCATCCTGTTTGCCATGTTATGCAACGTATTGTCAACGCTCTCTAGGAGGAGCTCCTGGTAGTGAAGGCGTACCATCCCTGTACACTGAACCATCCCTGCACGCGCTGAGAAAGCGATGCTCACCTTCTCACTCGCTCCATGTGTGCGGGAGCTGTTGCCACCGAAGATGTAGCCTGTTGCAAGATGACGGTTACCGTTCAGGGAAGTGAAGTCCGCATAACCCCGCACGTCGGCACGCTTAAGTGGCAAATCCCCGTGCTGTGTGCGCAGCACAGCACGAATGCCATACATGACGCATCAATCCACGTGCGCTGAATACTGCATGAGGCTATCGGCCTTATGCTTTATGGTATCAAAGCTATGGCAATCCTACCCGCAAGAGCTCGAAAAGGTGCGTTCAGGCCGTCCATAATTCCGTGATTTGGTGCAATGTCATAAAGAACTTCGGCCCGGACTTGGGGGCAATATTTCCGCAATTCAGCACCACTAGCACCTGCTAGGGCTTTCACAACGGAGTACTTCGGAGTCTCTACTGTGATGCTGCCAAAAATGCTGGACATTTTTAATATGATATAGGAAACTGGCTTCAAGAAACGGACTTTACGATAATATGTTTGTCATAAGCAACGCCCCAGATCTATAACATGGTGCCGACTTGCGGAACGGAAAGTGTGTCAAAATCTCACTGAGAGCGGAAATCCATCACAGTCTGTCCTTGTGAGACCAGAGGTTTGCTATGTGTTTGGCTGCAGGTCATCTTTGCATTCATGCCATCCATGCCTTCCGGAATGAATTCACGGCATCTTGCACCCTTTGGACTCCCGCAAACTTTCAGATACGTGGCCTTATCAAACTGGAAAGGAGGACACAATCCAGCACGCTTCCCATGTGGCGTTTTTTGCATAGTAATGAAAAGAATAAAAGAGCGTTTGCTCGCTCCAGAACCAAACGCTTTGTAGCGGGAGTTTGACGGCATTCCGCTCTGCTTGCTGGCAAAGGCGCTGATATGTGAATTAATTATGGCAACGTGTTGTAGGTTAGATCCATCGGCGCTGGGAGAGCTGCAAAAATTGTTTAGGCCCTTCTCGCACAGTATTGCAAGCTTATGTGAACAAGCGAACCTTTTCCAGCCAGGTATTAATTGCTTATCCGACACTTCCTGGAGATTTGAAGACTGCCGTCTTGGTCGAAAGCTTTGCACCGGGGTGGATGGCACCGTCGCACAGCATGGCACGCTCGACTTACAACGGAGGAATCAGTGTGATCTTCGCCTCCTGGATCCCGATGAGGATCCGTTGTGTAATGCAGCACCGAGCAAAACCGAGTCCTTTGGGGCCCGAGCCGCCTCCTCGCAAGAGGGCCTGCTAGGAGCCACTGACGCAGCGCTGGGTACTCCACTGCGGGCCCGCTGCGCATCCAGCGATCCCGACAGCATCCCAGCATCTGTACTGCCCGTGAATATGGTGCCACAGACCTGCTTTGAGGCCAGCTTTGTGCCAGGGTCCGTACTGGACAGCGCGGGCGTTCCCCCGTCCACGGGCTCTGACCCAGAAATTGCATCTGCTGGCTGCGGTGCTCTGTTGTCGCACAGCAGCGATGGGAACCCAGCATTTCACCTTCAGCACGTGACCATGGTGCCAGAGACTTGCTTCGACGACATCGACTGGTTGCAGCCACAGCTACAGTTGCCAGCCTCTTTGCTGCAGACCCAGCCTCAGCTGCCCACGAACTCGGGCGACCTGACTTCTTTGGCAGCAGCAGGCAATGAACTGACCGGCATCAATGGCGCAAACATTACGCGCGCGGAAGACACTCTTGTTACAGCTCCTGTGCATATGACCTGCACCGCCGCAGCAACAACAGCGAACATGGCTGTGTTATGCGCAGCGGCGCCAATGGATGGCGCTAGTATGGGCCTTGTAAACAGGTTCCCGGAGCGCTTGGGCCAGGACCGGCAATTGCTGCAGCTACATGAGCATCATCCAGCCACAGCTGCCCCACTAGACGCAACCCAAGCAATAGATGTCGTTGCCCATCCACTACCCACATGCGACGCCAGGGTCCTGCCGGTTCCGCCGCCTGGATACAGCTTCGACGTGGATGCGGCTCCGGACCCTGGCTTTGGGGTGGCGCCTACGCAGCAGACGCCGCAGCTCGATGAGTTAGGGCGGCACCTTGGCAATATGCCCAGCAGTGTTCCCGGCGCCCGGTCAGGACAGCTTCCAGCAGTTATGCAGCCCTCCTTCGATTACATGCTGGATGAGCCCACGCCGCCACCCAAGCAGCTTCCTAAAGGTGCGGCGATGCCGCTTCGGGTCGACGAAGCGCTTTTCATGGGTTTCGTTGTTTCTGGCGATCTGGGTCATGGTTGGAGGCAGTGTCCGCCGTGATCTGCTGGGGCATCTGGTAACTGCAAGCCCCAAGGACGTTTCCGTAGATTATGAATTGTCCTTTCATATTCCCCTCGTGTCACCCTTATAAGCGCAGTTTTATATTACTCCTGTCAATATTAGAGTGATCCAGGCCGCGAGCGGCGTCTCAGGTCATGGTGCGGATACGGCATATCTTCATTCGGGTGCAACAGGCGCAATGCGATGGTTGCAATGGTGGCAGGCAGGTGTTGCTTTTCACCGTTGACATTCACACCGCTTAAACCCCGGTGCGAATTAGCAGGAGAAAGCTGAGGCCAGTATCAATTGATCCATCCGTACAGCAGCGTAGTTCTTTTGTTCCTGCCCACTTACTTGGTCCCCTGAGGTGTCGCCTCTGTCGTTGCCGCCTCCGTTCGGTTGCTGCTGCTCCGCGCACTTGGTCTGTCTCCTGCGGTGCAGGTACACGCCTGCTGAAACCCGGGCAGCGCGCACGGCCGCTGCCGCCACCCTCTTCAGCCATGCCTCCAGCAAGGACATTGGACGGCCTGCTGGGCGGAGCAAACGCTGCGGCCTCCACCACCGCACCCGGCGGCACAGCCTCCTTAGGCGCGGAGGGACTCGCTGTGTCTACCGAAGGGGACCAGCGTAGACCGGAGCAGGAAATGGGTTGCCCGCTTCGGACGGTTGCCCACGAGGGGTTTGGGTACGGGCACGAGCAGGTCACGAATGAGTTTATCGTCCAAGACCAGCTACCGCGGCAGCCGGTGCACAAGTCGCCCCGGTGGCAGCAGCTGGATGAGCCGCGGGAGCATCTGCAGCAGCAGCAGCCTACGCGTCAAGGGCAGCAACAGCTTCAGGGAGGTGGGCCTCAGCCCGGCACGCCTCGCATGCCGGTCATGGACCAGGTCGAGCCGCGCCTGGCCAGGCCGGTCTTGCTGGAACAGCCGCCGCAGGTGCAAGGCGGTGGGGCGCATGACGAACTGGGGCTGGGGCTGCCTCAGCATCTGCAGCAGCAGGGGCAACAACAACCAACCGTCTGGGATTGCTTTCCCACGCCTGACTTGATGCTGTTCCCGCCGGAAAGGCAGGGCGCGGTACAGTCCGGCCAAAGTCCCTGCCCAGGGCAGCAGCAGCGCCAATACCATCCGCACCAGCAGCCTCAACAGCTGGCCCCGCAGCAGCCCGGGCAATGGCGACTACCGCAGCCTCCAGAGCCGCCCATTGGAGACTGCCGGCAGCTGCAAATGCACCAGGGCAGGGAACAGCAACAGCAGCGCCAGGATCACAACTACCATCACAACCAAAATCGCAGTCACCAACAGCAGTACGAGCACCAGAACCCTTCGTACAAGGAACACCAGCCGACCCTATTTCACGTGCCAAGCCACCACCACCACCACCAACGAACCCATCATTCTTACCACGACCCGCAACAGCAGCAGCACCAACAACATCAATCGCAATACCCCCAGTATTACCAGCAACAGAATCACCAGCAGCACCACGCAGGCGCTCCGCCTCTGGTGATTGATCGTGGGACTTCACACCACCCGGCTCCGTGGACCGGCGACCATAGCACTGCTTCCTGGGAGGGCAAGCCGGCGCTGCCGCAACCGCACGCTCTCCAGCAACCGGGCCACAGCACAGCACAGGATTGCATTTCCGCGGCGCAGCACTCTGCAGCGTCTGCTGGTGGAAGCGTGCATTTCGGCTCACATATCCACCCTCCAGGCACCGCAGCCTTTCCGAGCCGGCGGCAATCTCTGGAGGAGAGATCATGGCAACCTCATCAGCAACGTCAGCCGCTGTCACCACAGCACCCGCAGCAGCAGCTGCAGCTGCCGGGCAGCCACGGTTGCGCCCCGTCGATGCAACAGCCTGGAAACTATGGCCTGCCGCCGACGGGGAGTGCCTGCCACCGCTCTGCCGCAGCACCCAGCTGCGTGCGGTGGCAAGAGCAGCACCAGCACCACCAGCCGCAGGCGCTGCAACTGCAGCAGCGGCCGGCATGGCATCCACAGCAGGCCATGATTGCAGGACGATCCGAGAGGCAGCCATCCCCTCCACCGCAACACCAACTGTACCATGCAGCCTGCCAGCCGCAGCAGCAGCAGCAGTGGCAGCAGCAGCTACAACAACAGCACCAGCACCAGCAGCAACCCTGTGCTGGTCATTCAGCATTGTCGCAACCTCTGCAGCCGCAATCGCATGGTCACAGTCAAGCTTGGCTTCAGCATGTTCCAAATAACGGCAGGAGGGACCCGTCACCGCAGCCACCTCCTGCGGGTGGCGGTCTACCAGTGCAACTGCCGCCGCCTCCTCAGGTGCGGCCGTGCTTTCCCCAACACGTATCTTGGGAGTCTCGGGGCCAATTACACTCCGCCCCTCCTGCCGTGAACAGCCACACACCTGCGCCGCCGCAAGCTCAAAGGCAGCCGCTTCCAGCGTTGTCTGCTAACACTCCCTTCCCGAGGCCCTACGGCACAGACCTGCACACTCCCCCGCCTGCCTTGCCTACCACCATCACGGGCAGCAAGCAGCCACCTGGACCCTCCTCCCGCCAGGCGCAGCAGCAGCCATTGCATCATGCCCATGCCTCGAACCAGCTCAATAACGACAGGCATATACAGCACCCACAATCGGTCAGGGCGTCCCCTGCGATGCAGCAGTCCTATGGCGGCCACCAGCAGCTGCCGCACGGCCCGCCGCCGACGGGGTTAGACCACCAGCGGCAGCAGCCACCTTTGGTGGTTCTTCCCGCGATAGTGCACGGCGGCGCAACCACGCCGCACGCAGCGACCCGAAACCTAACAGACGCATCAGCGCACGGAGTGCATGCGCGGTTCAGTGGCGCGGCGCGGCTGGGACAGGAGCCGGGCACAGGGCCGGGATCCTGCGGCTTTCGCACCGCGGCGGACAAGCCTATCCACCTCAGCGACGCGGCGAGGCAGCGCGCTGCAGCCTTTTGGGTTAAGGTGCTGGAGGAGCCGGAGACGGTGGTGGATGGAGGTGGAGTTGCTGGGGAGGCGGTGGTCACTGATGAGACAGGCAGAAGCGTGCAGCAGCAACACGGGAAGATGGAGGCGCGAAACTGCGATGGCCGTGTGTCCGAATCTCCTGGCGGCTCGGCGGGAAGTCGGTTGGCTTTGCCCGCACCTCCGTTGGAGATTCCCCCGACGGTGCCGCTGCTGGCGTTCGAGGATGTCGAGGCCGACAGCGAGAACGTGGGGCCGCTCGGGAATGGACCCCCTCCGACAGGCGGCATGCCACTGCCGCCGCCACCGCTGCCAGCTCCTCTGCGCAACGAAGCTCAGGCCCACGGCGCTGGTACTGACAGCATTACAGCTTTCGGAGCGGGGGCAGGACTTGGCACGAGCGACGCCGCGGCGGTCCCTGGCATCAGCGGCATGGCGAATGACAAGGACTGTAGTGGCGATGTTGAAGTAGGGTTCGGTAGTGATGGATCCCATGGTGGCGGTAGCGGCTTCATTTTTGCTAGTGGCCGGCGCCCACAGGTATCGGCGGCAGCAATGCGGCGTGGCGCGGAGGTTCTGGCCAAGGCGCTAACTGCAGCGGCTGTAGATCCTTCGGAGGGCTGCGGTGCCGAGGATGCCGGCATGTCTCACACCGTCGCCAAGGGCGCGAGCGAGTGGCTTGCAGCCGCAGTTACAGAGGCCTTCCCCGCACACGATGCAGGAGTAGCACAAGTGGAGAATCTGCAAGGGAGAAACCGCCCAGATGGCGGCGTCGTTGCCCTTGCAGCTGCTGACGGAAACCGGTTCGACAGCGGCACAGGACCTGCTATCGCCGTTCAGACGCCATGTGGAGATTCCGGGGCTCAGGCTGCGGCAACCACAGGTCCTAGCGTTCGCATGGAAACGGACCCTGCAGCATGCGGATTCAGCACGGCGGCCGGCCGGCCGGTCGTCATTTCTGAAGCTGCAAGGAAACGCGCCGCGGGCTGGCTGGCCAAGATCCTGGACGAGGACGACACAGAGGAGCGTGAGAGCAGAAGCCACGGCGGAAAACTAAGCGCGGGTGTGGATGCGGGTCCGTTCGTCTCGGGGCCTGATGAAAACCGGATTGCAGACAGCCGGAGAGTTAGGCCGCGTGGGGCCTTTAGCGCCGTGTCTGCACAGGGAGGTAGCGCAAGGCGTGGAGCTGTTGGCGCTACGGTCGTGGCCGCTTCCACCGCTGCTGCTGTGCTTTCCACTGCGGGCAGTGGAGGACTGAGCGGTCTGGGCGGCGGCTTCAGCACAGCGGCCGGTGCGCCAGTCGCTATCTCAGATGCGGCGCGGAAGCGGGCCGCGAGCTGGTGGTCGAAGGTCCTGCAGGACCAGGACAACGGCATGGGGATGGCGGAATGCAGTGCAGGTTGTGGTGGTGAGCAGGATGCTAAGGGCGCCGCGGCAGGTGCTGACGTTTCTGGGAGCGTCGGCATCGGTGGGCAAACCATGGCGGCGGAGGCGATGGCAGTAGCAGCAGCAACTGGGGGCTGTGCTAGGAATAGGACTGATAGCCCTTGCACTGATGCTGAGGCTGGTCGTGCAGCTGCAGTAAATCAGGCCGGCCCGATAGCTCCAATCGGCGAGGGGTTTCCCGGCTTCAGCACAGCTGGCGGCAGGCCTGTGGTCGTATCCGAGGCGGCGCGGCAGCGTGCGGCGGGCTGGATGGCCAAGATCTTGAACGAGGAGCCGGCCCAGGGACCGGGCGTTGACGGCGCTGGTGGTAATGGAAGCGGTGATGGCAGTGGTATGGCCACGGGCAGTGGCGGCGCTGCACAGCTAGGAGACGCACCTTCAGCGGGCGCAGCGGCGACTGCGGGCCAGGGCGGCGATGACCCGGCGACGGCAACAGCAGCAGTAGCCGCTGGTGGCAGCTTCGGGGGCTTTAGCACAGCTGGCGGCAGGCCTGTGGTGGTGTCGGAGGCGGCGCGGCAGCGCGCCGCTGGTTGGCTGGCCAAGGTACTTAAGGACGAGTGCAGCGATGGTGACGAGCAGGATGTCCGTGGTGCAGGTGCTGGGCACGGCGACAGCGGCTTTGGCGGTAGCACAGGGGCGGCAGGGTTCTCTGCAGTTACGGCAGGTGCGAAAATGGCAGGAGGGTCCGCGAGTGGAATGGGTCCTCCTGCTGACCTGGGCATGGCTGCGGCCGCCGGGGCCGTCGGCTTCAGCACGGCGGGCGGGCGGCCCGTCGTCGTGTCAGAAGCCGCGCGGAAGCGCGCTGCTGGCTGGATTGCCAAAGTCCTGGACGCAGACGACGGAAACCACGGCGACCAGGAGGTCTGCCACCCCTCTGTTGCAGCCGCGGTCGCCGCCGGCATGGGCTCGGCATCGGGTTTGGTTAAAGCAGGACCCAAGCGTTTGGCGCCTCGGCCTTCTCCTCGCGGCGACGGCAGCGAACCATCATTCAAGCCACCGGTACGCTGCCGTGTGACATCGGCACCGGTGTCGCACGCGGCGGCTATGGAGACTACCGGCCCTTCTGTCGCCACTGCTACCGCTGCTGATGCTGCCGGAGGCTACCTTGCCACCGCAGAGGGACACCTGGAAGGTGCCACAGCTGCCGCTCATGCACCCAGCGCCGCCCTGCACCCTACCCACCCGCCATCATCAGGCACACAGCCTTCCGCAACGCCAGCCACTTCTACGCTAACCTCTCCGTTGCTACCTTACCCGCGGCCGGAGCCTCCGCAGCCGCAGAGAAACGGGGAGGTTCGTGAGGCTGCGGATTTCGCCGGTGTCTCGGTGCCGGTTGGACTTGCGCGCCGGCTGCTGCCTGCGGCGTCCGTTGTGGCGCTGCCGCCAGCGGCCACCGCGCTGCCGCGCTCCGGCCTCACCTTCGCCTCGGGACGGCCGGTAGTGCTCAGCGAGGAGGCGAGGAGGTCCGCGGCGGCATGGCTGGATCGTGACTGTGAGAGTGGGGCAGCGACGGCGGCGGTGGCAGCGCCGGACGCGCATGCACAGGCGACAACCACAGCGTCACCCGCAGGCACAACAGCGGTGATAGCAAGCGCAGTAACAACACCAGCAACAGCAGGAGCACGGACAGATGGAGATGTGGTGGCGGCGGGGCTGGAGGAATTTGCCGAGGGGAGGATATTTGTTTCTAAAGCGCGTGTGGAGGGATCCGTTGCCGTCACCGTGGCAGATCCGGCGCCAGATGAGGCTGGTGTCAGGGAGGAATTGAGTCCTCCTGCAGCGGCGGGCCGGCAGAACGACGGTGAAAAGAAGGCGACGACCTATGGGTCGAACTGGACCGCATCAGCATCACCGGGCCTTATGACCGCCGGCGGCAAAGCGATTGCAGTAAATCCGGCGCGTCTGGCCGCGGCGGCAGCCATGTTGCAAGCGGTGGGCGCGGTCGCAACAGACGAGGGGAGCGACGGCAGCGCGGCTCCTTCACCACTATGCGCAGTCGAGGGACGGGCCCCGAACATCAGCACGACACGCGGTGGTGGCCTGCAGCTTGGGCCGCGGCAGGATCTGCAGCACCTGCAGGCACAGTCGCTGAAGCAGCAGCTACAGGAGCAGCCAGCCACGGCTACGTTGTCGGCAGAGGCAACGCCAGTGGCGGCCAGAGTGGCGGCGGCGCCCACGGCACCGTTGCTGGGGGCCCTTATGACTGCGGGGGGCAAGTCGGTTTTGGTCAGTGAGGAGCGGCGTCGGGCGGCGGAAGCGATGCTGGCCTCTGCTGCCACAGCGGCAGAAGTCGACGCGGGAGAAGAAGCAGGGCCGGGCTGCGATATGTACCTGAATCGCTCCGGTCACACTACTCCTGGGCCTGAAACGGGAATTCGATGCGGACCTGGAGCGAGGCCCATGGCTCCTGAAGGCACTGTGGACATGACAATGAGCGCCGCTTGCGTCGGTAGGGATGCTGACTCGGAGGTGGGAGGGTCGCGGATGCCCCTGGCGCCACGGCAACTAGTCCCAGCCCTGTCTGCAGCCCTTGGGTCCATCCAAGCAGGGGGTCTAGTGGCCCATGACATTAACACGGGCCGCTCGGCTGTCGGCAACCCGATCGCCGCCGCTGGCGCCGCCGCAGGACAGCACACACCAATGCGGTCGCTGCCACAGCCGTCAGCCGCGGCGGCGCCAGCGGCACCTGCCGCCGCCGCTACACCGCCACGCGCCGTCACGCCACGCACGGTTGCAGGCGCCGTGACGCGTGTTACCGGCTTGCGAGGGCCCGCACCCTCCACGGGCGGCCTCAAGCGGCCACGCGCACCTGGAGATGGCGGTTCCGGAGCCGCTCCAACCCCTGGCACAGGGTGAGGTTGCTGCAGTCACACAACAAGACAGTTTTATTGCTCAAGCAGTGACATATTGGGTGCTGATGTTGTGAAGATATTCTTCACGCGTTGAAATTGTCTTTGCCTCTGTAGCCCTCCTCCTTGCTTCCTGCCGTGCCCATTACGTGGATCGGAACATGGAGGGAACCCGTTTGTTTTTATTTGCCTAAAAGTTCTCCTGACCGCCTGACCACGAGTGAGCTTCGCTCTGTTTTTGGCGGATCCCACTTGCCCTAGCCCTCGCCCTTCCTCGCGCAAAACCCCCGTGCTAGATCCTTCACTCCGTAACACCTGAACCGAAACCTTACCAGGCGGCCCCCGCGCCACACAGCCGCTGCCACAGCCGGTGGCAAACGCAAGTTCGTTTCTCCTCTGCCGGCCGGGTACAAGGGCAAGCCTGGCGCCGTAGATTGCGCGACGCCGCTGGGGGCCGGGCCCAGAGGCGACAGCAGTCCGGCAGCTGAGGCTTGGTCGGCAGGCGGAGGCGCTGCAGGGATACGCAGCGCTAAGCGATGCGGCAACGGGACAGGTAAGGGGTCCTGTCCTCTGGGGCTGTGGAGGGCTGATCCTGGGCTGCAGGCGGACGCATGTCAAGCTGTCTGCTGCGGCTAACTGGCTGCCAATGGTTCGCCATTTTTTGGTAGTGCGATCGTTCTGTTGTTGCCCCGGTGGCCATAGAGGAGAAGAGTTGGCGCGGGGCTCGCAGACTCAACCCCCCAAGAGCAGACTCAACCCGCGGTCCCGCTAAACTTGCTGCAACCATAATGCAACCAGGCTCTCCAAAGCGGCCCCGTCTGTCTTCTCTGTTTGAGCTGGAGGTGGGCATCGGTGGCGCGGCCACCAAGCTGCCGCTGAGGCAGTACTTCTCGCTGCCGCCCACGCCCCCGGGCGCCTCACCACTGCCTAACCCGCAGCGGGGCGGTGGTGGCTGCGGCCAGGAGCAGCCGCCAGCCGTGGATGGCTGCGGTGGCGGCGAGGCCGCGGGTGGTGCAGGCGGCGACGGAGATGCGGCGGTGCATGGCTGCAGCAGCGATGCTGTGGCAGCGGCAGTGGCGGCAGTCGCACCGAGCCAATTTGCGCCGCTGACACAGGCGGTCCTTGACGGCATTACGGCTGCTACTGCCGCGGAGTTCAAGTTCTGGGTGATAGTGCCGGCTCCTCCGCCACAGGCTCCGGCCCCACCTCCGCCACCTGCAGCGCAAGAGGCTCAACAGGTGAAAACGGGTTGTAGGTTGTAGGTTGTAGGTTGCATCGCAGCCCCCGTGTGTGCTCAAGTACCTAGCTGTAGCCTAGCTGAAGCCTAGAGCTTTCAGAATAATCAGTGAACGCTGTCATGCAGCTTGTCGTAATATCCCACCATTGGGTGTGTGACTCTCTGGCGGGCATCCAAGCAACCGCCCTGCTTGGTTCCCTTTTTTTGCGGCGTTCTGCAGAAAGTGAGCGTGGCTAATGGTGGCGGCAGTGACGGTGGGCTTGGTGGTGGTGGTGGTGGTGACGCCAACGGCGGCGGTGGCGGCGGCGGCTGTGCTGCCGCAGAGCGCGTCGCATGGGGTGCAGCAGAGGCTCGAGAAGTGCTGCAGCAGCTCGAGGTGCTGCCACGCAGTGCACGCGAGCGGGCCACTGACCCGTGGGTCACCAACCATTACCGATGGATTGTGTGGAAGCTGGCAGCGTACGAGCGACGGTGGGTTGTGTGGAGTGAAGGCGTTCGTGTATCTGGGGGCAGTGTCCTTTTGCGTACGTCGCTCAGTTGGCGGCAAGAAGGATTTGATCCGCGTTTCCTTTAGATAGCCTTGTTTATCCTTTCGCTGGATGCCATGCTGCTGCTGCTGCTGCTGCTGCTACGCAATGATGCTGTTCCGAATCAGCGATTTAGTGTTTCCCTACCTAATGCCGTGTGCTGTGCAGCTTCCCAGTCCATTGCCGGGGTCGCAGCCTGACGCCCGCGGCAGTCTTGGACCAGCTGCGGCGCCGTTTGCAGGTACGGTATTGTACCCGTACGGCACAACTCTTCGCATGCACAGAAGTGATGCGCCAGGTGGCGGTGCGTTGCCCCTTCGTTACGTTGCCCCTTTGGTTGAGCTTTGCGCCCGAGTTGCTTGTCGAGCCCATTCCCAGATGTGAATCAAGATGACTTATTTCTGTTGCGGCTTGCCGCCAACGGCGATCCCACGATACCGTTCCATCTTCCCCCCTCCCCCAACATTTGATGTTGCTCCCAGGTGGAGCTGGTGGGTGGCGGGCGGCCCATCCTGGCGGCCATTCTGGCCCACGACCGACCCGCGGGTCTGCCCATGGTGCTGGCTATCAGCGGCCTGCCCGAGGTAAGGCGAGGGCAGCGGCCCCCTCCCGGGGGCCCAGGAGGAGGCGCAGGCACGCCGCGGACCTAGAGTGGCGTCCAGAGCCGCGGAGGGATGAGATCTGTATCCCTCAAGTCCGCCCTGAACTTCCGATCTGAAAATTATCCTCCGCCAGTTTGTACACCGAAAAAACATGCGCACACACATACTCAAGGTACCCTTTTTATTCCTCAACCCTTCCTCTTCCTTCCTGACACTCCGCCACCCGCCAACCCCGGTGCAGCTGTCCGGGCGGTCCCACTTCACGGAGGGTATGCGGGTGGAGCTCACGGATGGCTGGTACGGCATTGCCGCCGGACTGGACGGCCATCTGGCGCAGCTGGTGCTGTCGGGCAGATTGACGGTGGGAGACTCTTTGGGGGAGCGGTGTGGAGGGTTATACGTGTTTTTCGCAAACAAAGATTTAAGATTTTTAAACACCCACGCCGCACACACGTACCACGACAACTATACCTGTCACGCACCATCTATTACTCCCCCTCGCCCTGTCACCACTCCCTCACCTATTTCCCGGCCCCCTTTGCTGTTGACTCCTTCAAAATCTATTAGTCGACATCTGAATCTTGAAATGATGCAACTCCTCCGTGACCGCCTCAATCCTCCCTCCCTCCTTACCTCTCTCCCTCCCTCCTTACTCCCTTCCAGCTGGGCAGCAAGCTCCGGGTGTGTGGAGCCGACCTGCAGTCAGAGCGGCCCGGGGAGCCCCTGGACCCCGCCACCCGGGGCAGCTCAGCGCTGAGACTCCACTTCAACGGCTGCAGCCCCGTACCCTGGGACGCGCGGTTGGGGGCCCAGGTGCAGCCCGCAGCACTGGCTCTGAGGCCGCTGGGGCAGGTGTGCTGCGCGGCGTGCACGGACCGCAGGAGTGCGGGGCGGGGTTGTGTGTGCGACCGGTTGCCGGTCTAGGAGGTGTGGTCCAGGAGGATGTGTGGAGGGGTGGATGAGGTGGCGCGGGTAGAGGTGGGCGTGTGCCCTGCAGGGAACATCGTGTGCGTCTATGCGGGGCTTCAGGTGTACGTATGTGCAGGTATAGGTGTGTATGTATGTATGTATGTATGTATGTATGTATGTATGTATGTATGTATGTATGTATGTATGTATGTATGTATGTATGTATGTATGTATGTATGTATGTATGTATGTATGTATGTATGTATGTATGTATGTATGTATGTATGTATGTATGATGTGTGCGCCTGCATGTGTCTGGGCCGCCCCCGAGGGGAAGGACGTACCTTCCCCTCCCGTGCGTGTGGGCATGTGCGCGTGCAGGCCCGAAAGCAGGTGTAACCCGTCATTACGAAACACAGTAAGCCCACACATCCACCATTCCTTCCCTGCCAGGTGATGCCCGGCGGCGGGGCCGTGCCGGCGACGCTCCTGCTGGTGGTTGCCAAGTACGGCACCTTGACGTACGAGAACACACCTCAGGGTGTCGTTAACCGCACACCGAGGGCGCAGGAGGAGCGGCTTCGAGGCGGCGCGGCGCAGCGGAATGAGGTGAGGGCCGGGGGCCGAGGGAAGAGGGAGCGAGGAAAGATACCCCCCCTGCCATCTGTCACTACCTGCTGTCCAGCACCGCACAGTCTAACCGCCACCTGTCGGCTGCGGCGCCCGCCGCCACCGTCGCCACGTTCCATCGCTCTTGCCCCGCTGTGGCAGGCTGCCGCCGCCGCTGCCGCTGCAGTGCAGCGTGCTGAGTTAGACCGCTGCCGTGCGCTGCTGCGTGGCGGCCCTCGAGCTGCGGCGACCTTCTCCTCCGCCTGCTCCGCCTCCTTCGCGACGCTGCGTGTTCAGCGCGCCTATGCGACCATGGTGGTCCGTGGGGCTGGCGGACCGGATGGTGGCGGGGGAGGTGAGGAGGGCGGCGGCGGGGAGGACGGTGGCGGAGGCTGTGGAGCATTGCCCGCTGAAGAACAGGCGCAGCTGAGCAGGTGCGAGAAAGGGAAAGGGAGGGATTGGAGGAGCGAAAAACTGCGAATGCGATTTTGGGGGAGGCGTTGTGCCGGCGGCGGCGCAGCTGGATCTCGGGTGACGGTGTGCCCTGGTTAGGTGATGAGGTGGACTAGAGCCACTGTGTGCTCCTGGGCCTTGCGCCCTTTGACTGACGACAGGGACTCGTCATTCAGTGTTCGGCTGCTGGCACGCGCAACAAAGCACTGCCTTGGAACGAACGAGAGCCCACAAGAAGTGCGTTTGCCCTTCGGAGACGAACAGTCGCGATGCTGCACCGTTTTCAGTATATAGATATAGATATAAATATACATATATATACACATTAAAATATGCATTAAAATTTATATGTATGAAAATTTAATAATAAAAATATGAAATAAATCATAATATGTATCAAGTCCTAACTCTGTCAAACACGCACACACCAGACTGGTTTCGGAGCGCCAAGCCTACCTAGCAGCGGAGGTGGCCAGGCAAACCGAGGAGACACTCAACGGGAAGTCAGGCGGAGCCGGAGGATTGGGGAGCGGTGGCGGCGGTGACTGCGGAGTGCCGTACCTGCGGCTCCGTGTTGCGGCCGTGACACCGCACGGCGTACCTTCAGGTGTGCGGGCGGGCGGGGGGGGCGGCTGGCCGGTGCTGCTCCGTCTGTCGTTTTGTACTATGGCACTATGCCTCCGTGTGCTGTGCACACATGTGCTTTTGATTCTTTAGCACCCTGGCTTGCCCACGTCGAGCAGCAATGGTTGTTAATTGCGAGGAACGGAAGGGAAGGAAAGGATATTGCGTAGCGGTTATCAGATAGCATCCTCGTCCGCGCCGTCTCACGTCTCATGAGTACACGGCACCGTGTTTCTTTCCTCTGCCCCCCTCTCTCTCCTCCCCTCCCCCCCCCACACACACATATCTCGCCTCCTCCTTCCCCCCACTCCGCCCCGCGCCCGCAACTCTTGCCGTTCACCACCGACAGGGCCCCCGAGCAACGTAATGCTGCGGATTTGGCGGCCACCTGCCGAGCTGGACGAGCAGCTGCGGGAGGGCCAGGTGCTGCTGGCGACGAACCTGACGCCGGGAGCGTACGGCAGCACTAGCGGCGGCGGTAGCGGAGCCGGCAAGGACCCGAACGGCGGGTCGGCGGCGGCGCTGGCGGATCTGGGTCCCCACGGCCGGCTCCGGTGAGAGTGCGTGGGGATGACTGCCGGGTCGGCAGGTGGGGGTAGCGTGGAGTGGGGTGGCACTAAAGCAGCCGCCGACCTTACAAGCGGCTGGAGTGTGAGATTGGAAAAGGGGACGCAGGACTTGGGGCTTGCGATGCGCCCGTGATGTTCGCTGTCGGCGACGTCGTCGTCGTTGTCGCTGCTGATGTTATTCGGGTAACCTGTACGGATAGTGTTTAGAGGTACTGCAGGGACAGAAGGTGGTGACGAGGCTCGTCCCGTCCTGCAGCAACAGCTGCTTTACTGAATCTCCGTATCGCCGTGTGGCGTCTTTCCGGGTTTGCGGAGCTTAGGGTTTTAGTGGAGCCGGGGAGCAGTCGGAAGCGGGAGGGGGGAGGCGTGGGGGGGGGCCGGGTGATTTTTTGGCTGAATTTGTCACGGGGGCGGGGTGTGAAGGGGCTAGAAGGCGGAGGAGCTGACTCCGGTAAATCATAGATGTGTGTGTGGGGGGGTGAGATGTCAGCCATGCAAGCCGTGGGGGGGGGAGCCTCCTCCCAGGGCCCCTGACCCACCCACCCCTTTCCTCCTCCGTGCCTTCCTTGCTCTTCTTTGCTTTGCGTTGTCGTTCACGCTTTGGAACCTTCTCCAAGGACAGTTCGTCGAGGCGGTAACCGCGTTTCGCAATCAACGGCTTGTAACGCACGCATACATGCACACCACACCCACACGCGCAGGCTCATCACACCTCCATTCCCGCTCCCCCCACAAACCTCCTCTCCCCCGCAGGTGTCTCGAGCTCACTGCCAGCAAGATGACCCGGTGAGCCAGTCGCTGAGGAGGTTAGGACTTGGGGGGAACAGCAAGGGGGGTAGGAGGCAGGAAAGGAAAGGGAGGGGGGGAAATGCTCCGGGTGAGGGGGTTCGCTCCGTAGGTCTGCCGTCCCCGGCCAGTCCCCACCAGCTATTACATATGCCTTCGATGCGCAGTGCCAAGCTGACCGCGCCGCTTCCCACACCGAGCCCTGCTCCGGGGCCACCCGATCTGTCGGCCCCTATGCCCTCGCATACCCTGTTCCGCATTCCCTTCTCATCTCCTGCACCCCCGTCGTAGGTTTCGCATTCTGGGTCAGGCTGCCGACCTTTCCCACCATCTGGCGCTGCCCGCCTACCAGCCCCGCCGGCAGCTGCGCCTCGCGGACATCGCCGCCGCCCTGCCGGCTGCCCTACAGCAGAGGCTTTTCATGCCCTCGCCTTACAACCATGGCCACCTGCACGGCCATGGGCCAGGGCAGCAAGACCGCGACGGGCAAGGGGCCCTGTCCAGCGTCTTTGAATTTGACTTCACAGGCTGCGTTGTGCGTGTGGGCGACGTCCAGATGGTCGGTGGCGGCGGCGGTGTACGGCAGCAGTGGGTGTTCCTGGCGGATCAGACGTCGGGGCTGTGCGCTGGGGCGATGGTGGGTGCGTCTGGAGGCGGTGGCGGTGGTGGCGGCGGCGGTGGCGAGGCAAATGGCGGCGGCGGCGGCGGTGCGGGACCTCAGCCGTGGATGCTGGCGGTGAAGCTGGTGGGCGCGCCGGTGAGCCCTCCGCTGTGCCCGTTGGGTGCAGCTCTATCTGTAAGGTGGTGTTAGGGTTGCCAGGCCAGCACAAATCAAAATGACTTCTTTCACTTATCATCGTGCCACTTACAAATGCAATCGAGGCAATTTGCATTTTACCCGTGCTGGTAGCTAAATGTGCATGCCGATGTACGGTAGTGTTGGATCCCAGTCAGTGTTGATGCGGTGGCCGGTGGAGATTACAAGTTGTTTATGCCCATCTTAACCACCGGCTCACAGGAACTCTCCCAGCAGGTGAGCTGCCTGCCCTTTGTTGTGCATTTCGAGTGCTTCGGGTCCCTCACTTCACGCCCCGCCCCCGCCTGCCCGCATAACAACGATTACAGGAATCTGTGGACTTCCTGCAAGACCCCGCTCGCCAGCCAGGTGCCGTACTATCCTTCCGGCATTTAATGCTACAAGACCGCGATGCGGCAAACCAGCTGTGGGTGGCGGCGGCGCCGGACACTGCCAGCGTGGTACGGGTAGCGCCGCCGCCATCAGGGGGACCCGGCGGCGGCGCCGCAACGGCGCCGCCGGCGCCACGTGGCGGTGACCCTGTGTTAGCTTGGGTGCGGGGTGTCGCGGGACGGGAGCAACTGGTGTTGTACGGCGCAAAGATTGACCGGCTATTGGGTGGTGGTTGAGTCATAGTCCACCGGGCGCGGGTGAGTCTTCAGCGCGGCAGTGGGGAGAGGGGATCGATGCCTGGTTGTATGTGGGCTCTGCGACTGTGTGCATGTGCGCATATCGTATGGGCGGTGTGTGTGTTTTCGCAGGCAACAGCCATATCTATACTTGTCAGGCGTATCCTCCTTGTTTGTACCCTCTTTCTGAGGATATGGTGCATTACAGCACGTCAAGGGAAGCATCAACAAGTGTTAGTCAACAAGTGAGCAGGGTGTATCGAGACGTGCGCACATGTATGGTAGCACGGTTTTCGTGATGGCAGGGCTTAGCCGCTTAGTTGTCAAGATGCTGTGGAGGGACAACCTTAAATATGGAAATGTTGTCCTGGCACCCTCCTGGCGAAGGATTACAAGGTAACAGCAAGGGTGTGTGAGTTAGCCGGCATCTCGAGAGGCCTAAACAGTGGCGTGCGAGGGAACACAGTGGTTGGGATGTTTCGTGTGCTGTGTTCCGGCAGGTTGAGTACTTGCGAGTGGTATCGCTGGGATGTAACACAGCTTCTGTGTGTGTGTATGTGTGTGTGTATGTGTGTGTGTATGTGTGTGTGTATGTGTGTGTGTATGTGTGTGTGTATGTGTGTGTGTATGTGTGTGTGTATGTGTGTGTGTGTTGCAGGTGCAGGTGCGTGCAGAAGTAATATGTGTGTACTGGTGTGCTATGCATTGCGTTATGTGGCGCGATGGGGTTGAGAACACCTGCGATGAACTGTACATCAAATGTTTCATAGACGCCCTGTGCCACAGATGACTGACGCTGTACATAATGTATCTTCAAGCCGTGAAGAAGAGGCTGCTGACGCTATAGCTGACACGCCATCTCGAATCGTAAAACCCGCCGTCCTTTGCGCACCGTGCCATCCGAGCTTCCCCAGGCAGTGTTTTACCTAAAGCCAAATTAGGTAGCAGTTTGGCTCCACCATAAGCAACTGATTCCTGTTCACGCATTGTATACTATTCGACCAAACAAATACCTGGCCCAACAATCTACATACTCATCACTCTCATCCTTCAACATAAAGCCTAAACGTGGTCACTACATGAGGAGCTTCCGGGCTTATTGGCCGCGTCCACCATCGTGCACGTGCTCAACGGCCGACCGCGTCCTCCCGCGCATCCTGCGATACCCATTCAACACCTCCGCAAATGCCACCACTGCGCCACTACACACGCGATCACCCGTGGCACCATCATGCAGTCCTCACTCCACGCCACCACACCACCACGCGACCGCGTCCCAGTATCTAACCAATCGAACACCATGCAAGAGTCACATCGTCCGTGGTTCAGCTACTCAACCAAACTATGAAACTAGGCCCCCAAACTCACAGCGGTCCCAGGTGGCCGTAAGGGGTCAACCCGCGCCACGGCTGGGTACCCGAGACCTCAACGCAACCAGTCGGGCGTCATTACGTTCTAGAACCTCCACTCGCAATCCGGGGAAGTTGTGCCGTAGCAGCGCCGCCAGCGCCGGCAGTAGCGCCGCGGGCGGTGCATAAGTCCCCGAGTTGTTGTCCGCCACCAAAGTCCAGTTGCCCGCCTCGGCGCCTCCTACACCCGCCAGCGCACTGGTCGAGGCTGCGGCGTCCGCCTCCGTCACCAAGGCCGCCAGGCTGGCTCCCTGATACACGGACCAGCTCGCGTCCAGATCGCCAGGCAGTAGGCAGAATTCCCCGGCATAAACCACCTGCAGAATTGGAGTCCGTGTGATGACTTGAGAAATGGAATGGCGACCGGGACAGCGTCTAGTGAGGGCCCAGGGGGAAATTGAGCGGGAGGTCTTGAAGCCGGAGTTGCAATGGGAGCCATGCAGGGGATGAGGTGACGGGGTAGAAATAAAAGCCACCGAAAGGGGCACATGCCCTGATGAGGACCAGGTGCACTGCTGCAGGCTGAACCTGGGGCCCCAGCAGGTCACCCTTTCTCCAACCCAACCCAACCCAACCCAACCCAACCCAACTCAACCCAACCCAACCCAGCCCAGCCGAACCCAGCCCCTTCATACGTACCTTTTCCGCGCAGCCCGCATGCATGGCGTGTTTAGACATGATGTCAGAGAAGAATGCGGCGCCAGTCTCGCTGAAGCGCCAACTGCCATCATCCATGAGCACGTACGTGTAGTAGCGGCGCTGCTGGGCCCGCACACCGCCCCGCAGCAGCACCACCAGGTCCCCGCCGCCCCGGAGCACTCCCCTGCTCCCCTGCTCCGTGTCCCCACATGTACGACAGGTACGGCACACAACACGACACGATTTCACAAGAGGTTTCACAAGATTACGGAAACAAACATATGCGTTACGGAAGGAAACATCACTCGCTCGAGGTGGGAGGACACTCACATCGCGCGGTGTCATGATGGACGTGTGCGACCTATCAGGCTGCGTGCGGTTGGTACACGAATGTGGGAGAGAGGATGAACGTACCATGTAGCTGCTGCGACGATGGGCTTTGTGTCGAGTAACTTAGCCGCTTGGCACTGTCCCAGTCCCTACTTGCGCCTCTCCCTCCCTCCATCTCCGTACTTGAGCTCGGGTCCAACCCAGCCGACAAAGGGCCATCCCAGGCACCAAAAACAAAAAGCTCTCCCGCGCCCTCACAGGGGCTCGGAACTGACAAGGACAGAACTGTCGACCCAACTACCCCACCACCACCTAGATCCGATTTTGCAAGGTCCGCATCGCCCAGTGCCACGCCGTGTATAGCCCCCCGCCCGCGCATTCCGCGCTTTGCTCCTTCACCTGTTGGCCGTCGTCTTTATACAACAGCGAATGCTGCATCCGGACGGTTTGCACCGCTGCCACACTGTTGAATAACTGCAGTAGCAGTAGCAGTAGCAAAGTGGCAATAGCAGCACCACTGACATCCCACTTCCGTGCCGCGCAACCCCGAGGACTGGGCATACCATTGAGAGTTCGCGGCGACAAAGACGCAACATAACATCGTGTGGATGTATGAGCACCACTTAAACACCAACTACCCAAGGGGTGAGCTCATCGCAGCGGCTACCTAGGGTGACCGCGTCCCGTGCCTTCGAAACCAGACAACGTGGAGCAACGATGGAGCTGCTGGCCCCAACCGGCTCATGGACAGTCGACCAGTGCATCTGGGTAGATACCCGCCTAACCCCCAACCCATCCACCTTCCCAGCATCCCACACATCTAATCCTAACCAGCATCCTAATGCGGAATATGCCTTCCCTGGACCCGTGGACCCGCCTTCTGTGCCCCGCCCTCTCCTGATCTCCCTGATCCCTGTGCCCCGCCCTCCTGCACACGGCTGACCAAAGATCCGCACCAGGCGCGCCTTGTCGTAGTTTGTGTTCCAATGGACAGAGGCGCCGGTCTGAAAGAACAAGGACAGGCCCGCCAGATTGACCTTGTAGGCCGCGAACGCCAGCAAGCCATCGTCCTGGTTGTGCCCCGTGAGGGCACCTACGGCCATCCAAAAGGGGGAAGAGCGAAAATTGAGGCATCCGCGTCGATATGCGGCATGCGGCGTGCAATGCTCAGTCCCTGACGACGAACAACGAACTGATCTTCGGTGCCTTGGGGTACATATGTCGTACCTGTGCTCGTCATCATGTTCACCTGTGACTCAGCAACCCTCCTGCAGCCATGCAGCTCCACTCCTGCTACTACTGGGGATACATGTCCCACTGGAGACTCGGCGCTGCATGATAGCCCTTGGCAGGGCCCAGCATCCAACCCCATCCTACCCAGCACCCCACGCCCCACATGCCCTTTCCCGGGGTTCGCCATCGCACCCAGTCGGCCCTGGCCCACCCGCCCCACAGCCGCTGCTGCTGCTGCTGCCGCCACGCAGCAGCTCCCAGGTGAGCTCACCTGCCAACGCGGACATCGAGATACGGTAGCGCACCGGGCCGCGGTGCAGCATCACTCGGGGGGATGATGACGATGATGATGATGATGAGGAGGACGGAGATGACTCGCAGCAGGCAGCACGACAACGCAGCTGCACACCCAAGTAGTCAAACACCGTCCACCGTCCACCGTCGGCGCAGAGATGCGCAAGATGGTGGCGGTGCGGCCGGAACAGCGGAAACGTTCAATAACGTTCAACGCCAGTGCCGGGGGTAGGACGTGTGCACGGTGAGTTACGGCCGTAGCGGGTCATTCACCGCCAGATAGCAACAGGGGGGTTGCAGATGTGGAAGGCAGGAAAAGAAGGGAAAGGACGAGAGCAGGGGAGGTTTTTCGCCGAGGTAACACGTAAACTTTGGTCTGCACGGTCCTGCCGTTTAAAACGGCTGTGTTACAAAGCCACCCATCCTGCAGCCGCTGCCGCTTACCAGCATTCCCCTCCCCCAACTCACCTCCAGAAGCAAATGGCCAGCTGCAGCGGGCACGCCCGGCGCGGCCTGGATGGGCAGTCGTAGGCGGCAACGGCACCCGTCAATATCGGGCTGCTCGCAGGATGAGGAGCTGGCGACGTGCGGCACGGTTGCGCCTTCAGCAGCTCCGACGGACCGGGCGACGGCTGCAGTGACACATGCGCTGTCCAGAGGAAGCTTGACGGAGCCGATGTGGTCGTCCATTGAAAGGTGGTCCTTATCGTGGATCTAAAAATGAAAATTTCCGTCACATGTTGGGTTGGCAGCGGGGCGGAGAGGGACCGTTATCCAACCATATGGATCTGACAGGATTGGACAGGGAGCAAACAATCGGGCGGCCGGAATGGCGGATGGATGGCAGATGGGATACATACGGCACACAGAGCGCGTCTGTTGCTGTGCATGTTCCTACACCCGGGGTCAGGGCATCTCTCAGGATGAGAGCGAAAGGGGGATTGCCATATTGTGCTGCGGATGGATGAAAGAATGGATGGGCCAGGCTGTGGGTATGTGAGTGCGCGCGCCACGATAGTGGGTATGAGGCGAGTGGCAAAGTGTTGTGTGTATGTGCGTGTGCGGAAATGGAAGAGGGAGGTAGTGTGTGTTCATAAATCTGGCCGGCTCTGAGAGTGCGGTACGCATGCAGGATTTCGTTGTGGGGACCTCCAGCTCTCTTTGGGGCAGTTCAAGACGACTTGGCATTCAGGGGGCCACGGTCATAGGCGGAGTCCATAAAAAAGATGAAAGATTGTGCGTCTTGCCGAAGTACGGCAGCCCTAGCCCGAGCGTTACCTGAAAGCTGCAAATCGAACCGATTGGCACATTTTGCAGGAAAATCTCCTCGTTCCATATGGGGTTCAAGGTGTTGTATATGACTGAGGTTTTGTAATTAAATGATTGAGTCCTGTCCGGTGATGTGATCTGGAGCGTGATATATGGGTCAGCATGACCAATGAGGTCCATACGGGGAAGATCCTGCAGTGCACGAAGGTACATATCATTCAGACGTAGCTCGTGAGCTAGTCTAATCGGTGTTCCGGGAATAGCTTTTCCATGCTGCCGCTCGGGCTAGGTATTGAGCAAGATGCACGATGTTTCCCTTGGGCGCAACTTACCTCACATTCCCTAACGATTATGTCAACATCCCATAGCGCAGGTGGCTTGTCCCTGATATTCTCCTCGATCATTGACGCCCCTTGCGTAAGGCTTGTCGCTCGGAAGTTCCGTGAACGGGCTAAGCCAGATGACTATTCTTTAATTACAAACAATCTTGCTGCTACAGATTATACATCGGTCAATCTCACGACACTGCTACTTTTTTCTGTGGTAAGGCTTGGCTTGCGCATCCCAGTGCTTGCAAAGGCGAGCCATCAAAGTTAAGGATGGCATCCCAGGCACACATTTAATGTTACCCTATTCCTGCAGCGAGAAAATACTAGTTAGGAAGAGTTTAACACAGGTTCCGATTGAGTTTCCGTACCGAGTCTAGTGCGGCTCCAGAACCATTCTTACCGGTTAAGCCGCATATGGCATGTGTTCAGCAACTAGTGTCGACGAAGCGGGACCTGGCAGCGGCATTTGTCCAATTAAGACATGCGCCGCAGCCGAAGTCATGGATGGCTGTGGCATCAAAACCGTCCAAAACCTCATAGGACAAGCATCTGCCATACAACAAGCTTCAAAACAATCGGAGACCCTTTTACCTGCAAAGCGCGAACCCGCGCCCCGGGTAGGAACCTAGAATGCACTTCGGTTGCTACGCGAAGCTGATATGATGATTGATGGCCCACTTCAGAATTTTTAAGGACCAATGCTTAGAACACGGAAATGCTAATTGTGTGAAATTGCTCACGTTTCGTTTCCTGGAGCGATATGAGGGCCTATTGCTTCGCAGACCGTACAGGAGGGCTCTTGCCACGTTTTTACTCATCTATCTTCTCCAGCGCATCGTGCGCAGACATGATCGGCGATGCTAGCTGTGTGTCCCTAAAGGTGCGAGACCCGAAATGGCCAGCATTGGCCCAGCATCCTGCGGCTTGGTATTCACAACTCGTCAACACCATAACGCCCTGAAACGTTGCTCGCGCGTATTAGTAGAAGTTCCTTCCATGGCCCTTTCAAAGCCCTGAACTGGCGTTGTTATGACGGCCAGTCCGATTGTCGCCGTCCATCGGTCCATCGACGTCCACCGTAACTATGCTACAACGCGGGACGCGTGACACCGCTCGAAGTCATGAATTCCGTTGTTGGTGCCTGAAGACAACAGCTTTGGGTACTGCATGGACTTAGCCAGTCTAAATAAACCAATAAACCAGTAAAACAAACCAGGACTGCTCAATCCTCATAAACCACACTCCCTTATATCTGCCTGGCGCCAACATGTATTCACCTACACTCGACGGCCTCTCCGTGTTCCGCCAGTAAGACCAAAACACTGGTAGAGCAAGAGTCGTCTTCCACAACGACCATCACCACAGGGCTATCACATGACAGCTGACAACAGGTGACCAGAGGTATTGAAGCATGACGTGACACCACACGTCCAAGCAGATAAAGGACTTTACTTACTAGTAGGAACATCTTATATTCACAGATACAGATACACGCAGCGAGGGTGCTCTCTTTGGAGCACAACGACTATCAACGCGAACCCCTGAACATGGCCACACAAGATGTGTTTGTATGCATGCATGTACGTTTGGGTCTGTGTCCGTCTTAAATACATCACCTGCACAAGAAGATGGAGTAATGCACGGCACCCGCGGCAAAACACATCAGCCTCCACCCCAGCCTTTAAGAAACGACGCAAAAGGACACAGTTGTGCGACCTATAGCGCCATTGGGCTCGGCGCTGCAGCGAATGACACAATCCCAAATCCCTCCTTAAGGACCCTAGCGATGCCCAAAGGAAAGCTGCGGCATCAAGCTCGGTAACGCAGGCCCGCCAATTCCCGATTGCGATTGTGTACGGCCGCTAACAGCTGATGCAACCTTTGATGTGACTGAGGCCAGCAGCCCAAGGCCGCCGCCGCCTGCCCCGGCCGCCGCGTGCTGCCCCGGCCCATGGGTTGCTGGCGCCGCCCCGCTGACGCCTGTGCCGCGCCTGCCGCTGCGATGCGCGTGGTCAGCCGCGGCAATGCCCGCCATCTCAGTGGGTGTGAAGCGCAGTAGCCTGGACAGCACTTGTAGAACGGGCCCCTCCCGGGGCAGTGAACCGCTCTCGAAGAAGCTAATGATGGCCGCCCGGAGGTACTGTGTCACGTTAGAGCAGGGGGAAGACCGCAGGGTGAGGGACCCGCAAGCGGGTCAGACGGAATTTTCAGATGCTATACATTCCCACGCTTTCGACCCCAACCGAGGTTAGCCCAGGAACTCCCCAACAAAAGAGCGGAAGGTGGGAGGCGTTCTTGGGAATCGATAGCGTGTTCGCGCCAAGACAGCTGTCAGGTCAGTTTACAGTGACGTGGCACAGCCAACCATAGCTTGAATGGCATCAGCGATGCCACAGTTGCGTGCATGACGGACAGGTTGCCCCAGCGGCGCAGCACGTGACAGCGCTACCTCTCGACCCCATGACCATCCAAAGCCGGCACCACAAATGATAAACCTGCTCCGGTCTTACCCCTGCCCTGAGCCTGCAACGCTCGCAAAGCCGACAGCCGCGCGCATCCCTCCAAACGCGCGACACACGCACCTGAACGTCCTGGTTGCTGACTTGCATCTGCGCCTGCAGTCGCGCCAGCTCCTCCCGCAGAGCCGCCTGCGCCGTGTCACGCAGCTGGTGGGTCGATTCGGCGTCCTCGTAGGCGTGCCTGAAACACCAGGCCGGCAGCAGAATATGGCATGCAAGGATGGAAGCAATTACGTCAATTGCAGCCTTGTCCACCGCATCCAAATAGGCGTGGGAACTCTCCAGGCGGGAGAGGTGCTCTGGTATGTTTAAAACGAAGGGCCAACGCTGGCGCCGATGGCTGGCGCAGAGCATGCATGGCTGAGGCGCGACGGGACGAGGGCCAGCGTGGAACAGGGTCACTAACCGAAGAGAGGGAGACAATGCGACCTAGTTGTTTTGTGATTGGGGTGTGTGGGACAGGGTGTTATGGCTTCACCCGGTACGCACTTTTAAGGATCGCCTTGGCCCTCCTGTTCGTTTCGGTTAAGGGCACCCTGATCCATTTCCCCAAGCCGGCAGTGTTCGGCTCGGGTTCAGTGGCCACCATCACCACCAACCCCCAATTGAACCTGCCTGATAAACGGCGGCTTCATAATACTCCTCGCCCGCCGCACCCCCTTATACGCCGCACCCTCGCCCCCATACACCCACTTGTATTCCTCCAGCTCGTGCTGCAGGGCCGCAATCTGGGAGCGCAGCGCCAGCACCGCCGGATCGGTCGCGCCCTGCAACTGGAGAGCACTGTTCGCAACAATTCCCGACGACGACGTGCTCAGCTGGGGCTGCAACAAATTGGAGGCTGACCCAGACAGCGGCCGCTGATGCTGGAGATGGGCCTCGCCGTCACCAGGCCCGGCTGGCGCCGGTGCGACTGTGGTCAGGGACACATTGCTGCCAGCGCCGGCTTTATACAGCAGCGAGGTGGATGAGCTCCCTGCGCCCAGTCCTGCAGCTGCCGTGCGCGCCTGGCGTAGCTGCGCTCGCAGCGCATCCGCCTCCAGCTCCTTCTCCTCTAGCAGCGTCCGGCTCTTGTCACGGAGCCCTTGGATTTCCTCCTGCAAGCACCACCACATCCAACACTAGCATCACATACCCACATGCACGTGGACGCCGTGCTCGCACATACGCCAAAGCCGTCCCTATGCATCCCAACCATAAGCAAAGTGCTCCCCACCATCCATACGCGACAGCGTGGCCACATACCGTATACCTATGGCTCCCGGGTGACATCAAACGGCGAAATAGACCCATTCTATTCCGCATTTTGCAGTGGCCCACCATGCGAACCCTTATCTGGCGCAGCGATGCACTTTTCCTTTAACGTCTCCCGGTATCAGCCAACAACACAACTCTGTCTTTCCCAGAGCCCTCATGCAGTGCCTGGCTTGCCTGCAGTTCCAACATGCCCGCCTCTGCCGCCTGTAGCTGCTGCCTCGTCGCACGCAGCTCCTCCTCGAGTGCGTCGCCCCGCTCCGACAGCTGCGCACGCAGGGCATCCTGCGATCACAAAATCCGGAGGGCAGGCAGACAGGCGGGGAAGAGGGACGTGGGCTTCAACATGAAACTACGGAACGTACTAGAGCTCTCCCCAACGCTTCCACTGCACGCTCCTGTAGCGGATGATCGGTGCCCAAGGCAACCCGGAACGGCAGAGGAAGAGGCGAAGGCTCTGGAGGAGGAACAACCGAGTTCAAAGACTCGCCCTTCTTTTTTGGCTTTCGCATACATTCCGCATCAAGCGCAAGCTTGCCCATGAAAGGGGATCCCTGTGCCCCCTGCGCACGTACCAGCTCCCCCAGCCTGCGTGCCCCTTCCATGCGTGCCTCCGCATCCGCCCGCGCCCGCGCCTCGTCCATTTGCCGCCGCAACGCATCCAAGGCCGCATTGGCGGCCGCTGCCTGCGCCTCCACTCGCGCCGTACGCTCCGCGGCCGCCTTGGCCGCCTCGCGCAGCGCCTCTAGCTCAGCCGCCGCTGAGTCATCGGCATGGCTGTGGCCAGAGGGGTCGGAAACCCTGCAACCCGGATCACGGCGAGTGAGCCACACATCTGAAAAAGAAAACGGTTTCGGAAGCAGGCGCCCGCAGCACCCATAAGGCGCAGGTCAAAGCGCTTACACTCCCAGGAAGCTGCGTCGTGTAATACGCCCAGGAGTAGTGTGCGCCGCAAGGACTGGCCCGATCTAGCACTCAATTCGGATGAGAGGACCCTCTGGGACAGGATGCTCCACTCTCTTAATTGGACGGATTGCCATACTACCCGTCCAGCCTCACTTAGCACAATGTTTGCACCTAGACGGCTTCTAGCAAACAGCATACGTACGTAACGACATGCCAACGCAACGTTACCCCAATAGGCCTGACCTGGAGTAGCACTTCGCAGCTCTGAAACCGCGCCTAGGCCTGCCCGCGCCACAGCCTGCCAGAGCCCAGCCAAGCCCAACCTACCGACTAGAGGTTTCCACCGCCTGCCCTGCGCGGCTCTCCAGTCCGTCAACCAGTCGCCGAACCGCCGCAGGCCAGCGGTCTCGCGGCAGCGTCGGCAGCGCCTCTAGCTCCCCAGCCCAGGTCCGGGCCAGTGCGGCCCCTCGGCGCCGCTCCTCATCCAGCTCCGCTACCAGTCCCTCGTTCTCATCCTCCACCTGCAACACCGCCCCCAAACCACAAGGCGGTTGGCCCAGCTCCAAGATCACCGACGGTCTCACATTGCTGCAATACACACGTAATAAGAAGCCGCAACTACGGATAAGCATCTCCTAGGCCTGGTTTGTTGCTCCATCGACCGACCATGTCTGTTTACTTCGGACAGCCTTCCACCCTGGGGCCCTTGGGCCCCCTGATGGCTCGTGTGGGCCCCCGTTACACCTTTGGCTGGTAACGCAACTCCAGGAGGTGTAAAACACACAATTTGAGCCGTGGACTTTCACGTCATGCGCCGTCGTGGCGCACCTGCTGCAGGCGCGCCTCCAAGTTGCCCATCATCGCTGTCACACGACTCAGCTCCTGCGCCGTGCGGTCCCGGGCGGCCTCCGCCGCCTCGCACCGCACTCGCAACGCTTCAAAGCCCGCCTGCCCATCCCGCGCCTCCGCCAGCGCCGCCAGCGCCGCTGCGCGCTCCTCCCGCAGCGAGTGCAACAGTACCAGCTGCGCACATCGGCACCAGAGGGCAATCGGGCTTGAAATCCCGCTCCCCAAAGGAATCAAGCTTGACACGGAAAAGACGTATCTCACAAATAAGGACTGACCCTAAGGACTACCCCGCTTCTTCTCTCCTGGGGCCAACCTTCCTGGGGCATCCGCGCGCATATGGCACCATGACCTGTTCCTGGCAAGCCGGGAAACAGCAGCCGCACCTGATCGGCCAGTTTTGACCGGTCGGCCTCGCTGGCCAGCAGCCTGGCCTCCGCGGTGGTCACTCGCTGCTCCAGGTCAGCCACCTGGGCGTCCGCCGCCTCGGCACGCGACCGAAGCTCCGAAACCTCGAGCCCTGTGCTGTCACCCGCCTCCTGCAGAGAGGCCAACCGCGCACGCAGCTCCCCCCCAGATGCACGCTCCGACTCCAGCTGCCTGCCAGGGCGGAAACGGAAATGGAGCAGTAAGCCGCGATGGCCAACGGGAAGTCCACGGTGCAGGCGAGAATGCGCATGTGGTGATGTCGCGTACCGTTACCAACCGGCTGAAACTTCCTGCGGCAGCAAAGCTACAGACCCAACGACACCCCCTAGATGCAAAGTTTTAATTGGGACATGGCCTACAATCCAGACAGCGCAGCAGCAGAAAGTCTTCCAGGCGGATGTCGCCGCATCGAGGTCCTCTTCCGTCGAGTTTTGCCCTTTCTGTCCAATACGGACCGTCTCTGGCGCCCCGGTCCCCTCTTCTCCCATTTCATTACCTCTGTGCCTCGAGAAGCTCCGCCTGCAATGAAGTCACCTGCTCGGTCAAAGCAGCCAGGCGCTCACTGAGGCCGCTGCTCTCGGCTCGTGCTTCGTCCAATTCCGCCGCCCGCTTCTTGTTGATCTTCTGCAACCTGTTTAACAAGGTAAGCAACGAGATCATTTTCAGCGACAGCACCAAAAGCAGCTCAAGCGCGGCATCTTCTAATGCGCGGGTTCTCTCGCGCTACGTGAGCTCGGAAACGCGAGCGAACCGGACCTTAAAGGGCAATTCAGCGGCCGCAGGTGTAGATGCTCACCTCTCAAGCCGCTCTCCCCATCCCCGCTCGATGTCCTGCGCCAGCCGCTTGGCCTCCTCCGCTGCCACCTCTGCAGCTGCCACACGCCCCTCCGCCGCCACCCTCGCGAGCTGCACCGCCTCCAGCTGTAACTCGAGCCCCGCGGCACGCTCCTCCGCTGCCTTTGCAGCCGCCGCAACCGCCGCCGCCCTCTGCGCTTGCTCCACGGCTAGCGCCTGCGAGTGCTCCTCCTCAAAGGCCGCGATCTGGCGCGCCTGCTTGTCCGCCGCCCTGTTGAGGTAACCCTGAAGCTGCATGATTTGCTCCTTGTATGATGCCTCCATAGCCGCGACGGTCTCCTGCACGTGCGAAGGCAAAGACAGCGACTCAGCTGTCGTGTACCAATCCGTGTACAATGCCGTGTACCAATCGCCCACGCATGCCAAGGCGCACCACGCTTCTGCACCGCGATGTCCAGTTTAGCGTGTGACCGTATGGGGGCACATGATCGCTTGAGCGACAGTTGCACGCGATGAAATACAACCAACAAGGGTCCTGTGCCACGCCCGCGGTAATGATGAGCTGACGACCGAAAAACGTCTGTCCGAGAGTCAGCGCAGCTCCAGCTTAGAACACGCAGAGACACAATCCCTGAAGCGAGTTTCGCGCTCGCGGGCCGCTCACAGCCCGCGCGGCTCGATGGGAGGTTAGCAGCCGTTAGCAGCCAGCGCAAGTGTGGGTGTGTGGGCGTGCATACACATCCTGCCTTTCGATTGCTTTCCCTGGGCCTCTTGTACCCCTGTGACATTGGCCTGTGCCTGCACGCACACACGTTCATGCCCTGTCTGCATTGTACGGTTAATATTCGGGCATGGTTGTCGCATGGCCGGCAAGATGGAAATCTCTGCCAACTGACCTTGGACACTGTGGCCGCACGCCGCGCCTCCAAGGCGGCCTGCAGCTCCTGCAGCTCCGCCCGAAGTGACTCAGCCAGATTGGTCTGTATGCGCAGCTCCGACTCAGCCGAGCGGACCGCAGCCTCCGCCATCTCCAGCTGCACGTGGGATGGGTGATTAGGGACGATAGAACGCAAAGGATGGCGCCGTTCAGGGCCACAAGTAGCAGGTTATCATCCAAGTGCTACGAAGTCATAGGCCCCGTTGGTCCACAGCAAGCATTCGGCCACGACCACGCCTGTGGAGGCCCCCAATTGGTCTGGGGGAGCTCACGTCTGCCATGTACAGGCAATGAGGGACTGCCGCTGTATACGGGGCTTGCCAATGCGCCCGATTCAGACACCGACCCGTCAACAGAGCCATGAACCACACACGGACCAGTCGCCATTCATCGAAGGAACTTTGGTGAAGGGCGCCCGGGCATGATCAGCAATACGATGTAACTATGTGTGCAAGCGCCATCCCATTCAGCTGCAGCGCGCAGCCTCAAGCGTCAAGTGAAAACCCTAAACCCGAAGCCCCAAAGCCTCGTAACCCTGATGGCCCTCGTTTCACGCTTACCCGCAGCCGCAAGCTGGCATCATCGCTGACGCGCCGACTGGCGCTCAGGTTCCTGGTCAAGATTTTTGGCAAGTCCGGCGGCGGGTTGCCGCTAGGGCTGGCGCCACCGGCAGGTCTGTCAGCGGCAGCGGACGTCTCCTCTACCGCTGCCGCTACGGCCTCAGCAGCCAAGAGCATCGCTGCTGCCGGCCCTATGTTTCTGGATTTGAAGGACTGCTCATAGGAGGGCGGCGCCGCGGGCGCGCCGCCAGCCGCCACGATGTCCATGAGCTTGGTCGCCAGGGCCTCCAGCTCCGAAACCCGCTGCGATAGCTCGTCCACGCTGCCACACGAAGCCTTGACCGCATGGAACAGCGGCGCAAAGGTCTGCGCGGCTGCGGCTATCTGTCGCATAAGGCCTAGATGCTCAGGCGAGATGGGTGACGAGGCTGCGCCTGGCGGAGGCGGAGGCGCTGCTGCTTCAGTGGCGTTTACCTCGACGGCGGCCGTCGCTGACGCCAGCGCCTGCTCCGCCAATACCAGTCGCGCCTCCTGTTCATTCAGGCGAGCTTCCGCTGCGGACGCTGCCGCAAGGGCGTCGGCGGCCCGCGTCTCCGCCGCCTCCGAAGCCGCCCGGGATTCTGCTAACGCTTTCTCCACCACAGCCAGCTTCGCGGCACCCGTCCCCTCGGCAGCCTCTAGCGCCGCGCGCATCTCCGCCAGCTCCGCGCGGCACGACGCCAGCTCGGTAGCAGCTTCCGCCGCGCGTTCCCCTGCCAACTTTGCTTCCGACAGGGCGGCATCTAGCTCAATGCCGAGCTGCCGTAAATTGGCATCAGCCGAGGCGGCGGCTTCGTCAGAGCGCTGGAGCTGGTGCTCAAGCTGCTGGCGCAAGGAAGCAGCAGCGGCAGCTGCAGCCTCAGCGGCCTGAGCGCGCTGCTCTGCGGCGGCCATGTCCTGTGAATCAGGGGCAACATCTCAAGCATTACAAAAGCAGGCCAAAGGATGCCTTGAGACGGCCATAGCAGAGCGGGGGGGAACGGAGTGAGGCAATGCAGCAAGACAGACATGGCCATAGCCGCGGACACGGAAGCCATGCAAGCCATTGCCTGGGACCGCACGCTCAACAAGCTGCTATTTATCTAGCAACTCGCACATCCGCCAAGAATCGTGGGCTTGTAAATTTGCAGACTCCTGCATACACGCGCCCATCGCACCTGCATCATGTGCGCCATCTCGCCCTCCAGCTCCTCCAAGCGCTGCGCCACGTCGCCATCCTCGTTGCCACCATGCGCTTCGGCAGCAGAAACCCTGGCCTGCAGCCGCTCCAGCTCCTCCGCCGCTTCGACCAGTTGATGCCGCAGAAAGGCCGCCTCTTCGAAGTGAGCCTGCAGCTGCCCTAGCAGCGCCACCACCGTACTGCCCAGCACGGCCGTTTCCTGAGAGCTGCCCACGTCATGGATGCCAGGGCTGCTTCTGTCACCGTTGCTGTGGCCATGGTCATGACCAGGCGTGTAGCCGTTGGCCATCGGCGCAGCCGCCGAGCCGCTCCAGCAGCTCAGAAGCTGCTTAATCGTATCCTGCAGCAGTGCCAACTCCGACGCGTACACCGCGACGCGCGCCTCCGCTGCGTCCAATGTTCCGTCCGCAGCTGGCGCTGCTGCGCCGCTGCCGCCGGCCTCAGCTATACCATCCGCCGCAAGACTCGCACCAACAGCAGCAGTCGCCGCCGTCGCATTCGTGCTGCTGGCGGGTGCTGGCCCTGGCTGCGGCGACTGCTCATCGCCGTCCCAAGCGTCCCACTCCTCTTGATCCCAACCGCGACCTGGCACAGCAGCTGCTTCCGCAGGCTTTGCCACCTCCGCCGCCGCTTCTGCCACCGTCTCGGCCTCGGCGTTGGCGCCTTGGGCCAGGGATGCCTCCACGACCGCACCATCCCCCACCTCGATAGCACCCACCTGGCTGGCATGAGCAGCTCCAGGCGCGGTCGTGGCGGCCCGCAGCAGCGCAACCTCTGCCTCCCGCTCCTTCAGCTGCTCCACGAGCGCTGCCGCGGACAACTGCATAGCCTCCAACTGCGCGGTAAGCTCCGAAACCAGCCACTTCTGCCGTAGCATCTGCTCCTCTGCCTCCATTCCCTCAGGCTCTGCTCCCACATCGAGGCTCGGCTCAGTCTCCGTTGCAGCTCCGGCTGTCTCCGCCTCCGCCTTCGCACCAACGACATATTCGGCTACAGGCCGTGGTTGCGATGGCAGGTCCTCTGTGTCCGTGGAAGCCGTGGGCATGAGGGCCCGAGGCAGTCCTATCGTATCCGTGGCCGCGCTGGGCATGTCCGGTCGTGGCAACCCGGTGGTATCGGTGGAAGCGGTCGGCATGAGCAACCGGGGCAGCCCCTCCGTGTCTGTGGAAGCGGTCGGCATGAGCAGCCGGGGCAGCCCCTCCGTGTCTGTGGAAGCGGTCGGCATGAGCAACCGGGGCAGCCCCTCCGTGTCTGTGGAAGCGGTCGGCATCTCCGCTCGCGGCAGCCCAGCAGTGTCAGTCGACACGCTGGCGGCCGGCAACTCGATTGTCTGGCTCGACGCCGCCGTGACGCTGTTGCCCCTCGGCAGCTCCGAAACCACACCTACCTCCGCCCCAATCAGTGCCGCTACCGCCGTTACCCCTGCTTGTCTGCTCGGCGGGTCCTGAGCCGCGAGACTACTCTTGGCTGCCTCTACCTCCAACTGGGATGCAGCGAGCTTTTCAGAAAGGGAGGATGGAAAAGTACGGGCAGTAGGGCGATGCCGCTTGGGACAATCAAGAGAGGAATGAGGAATGAGCTTGTCCTGCCTTGCCTAATGCCTCTGAAAGCTGCGCAATGAAAGCTGCGCGAGCAACACGGCTCTAAAATCGCTGACAAGACAAGGAGCCACCACTCTGCACCACAGCATGCCGTGCGACACCGGGGTCAGCCCCTGCCACCCCAACCTCTATGCCCAGTAGATTCGCCCGCCAGATTTGACTGTCCACGGCTATCTGCGCAGCCATCCATCCGCAATCCCCTTTCCACGCGACACGCCCCAATCGCCGTACCTTGTCTTGCAACTCCTGCACTTGCGTTTCGAGCCCGGCCTTACGCTCCCTCAACTTGTCCAGATGCGCACGCAGCTGGGCCACCTTCTCATTTGCAAGTTGAGCCTGAATCAGCCAGTGGAGGGAAGCATGGGGAAAGAGGCAAGTGTCTTTTACTGCTTTTGCTGCCTGCTGCTACACCTTCTCGTCGCAGCAGAAAACACCCACCTGCTCTTGGCGCTGCTCCGCCTCGTCCCTGGCAGCAGCCGCTTCCACCTCAGCCAGAGCCAGCGCTTCCCGCAGCTTCTCATTCCGGTCCCGGAGCTGCGCAAGCTCCTCCTGCGCGTCTGCATACCTCGCCTCTGCCGCGGAATAGGTAGCCACAATCTGCTCGGCTTCGTGCTCCCGCTCTGCAGCAACAAATATACAACCGATAGGACCCTGGTAACGTAAACCACCCATCAGCCGCAGTCCATCGGCTCAGATATGCGCAGGTGCAGCGGGTGCGCTAGAGAGTGGTGAATTCCTCTCCAACGGCGTAGCCGGGCGTGCAGTGGACAAGGAGTACACCGTCGTGTCAGCTACGCGCAAGACCTGAGCACGTTATGCCGATAGTTTTGTTTAAACACTAAATTAGTTTGTTGTCCAGCGCAACCATGCGCCATTTCGTGGCAGTCCAGCCCAGGCCTGCGGTTGGTGAGTGATGCCTGGGGCAGCACCCATTATTCCGCCCTGCATCCTAGTTCCCAAAAGAACCACCGCCATTACCTGTGTAAAGCACAATGCGCTCGGTAGCGGTCTCCAGTTTCCTCTGGGTGACGACCAGCTCCGTCGCCAGCTCGCCAGCACGCTGCTCCGCCACCGCTACGGCGCGCTGCAGCTCGTTGAGCTGCGCCGCCGTCGCATCGGCTCGGCTGTGCGCCTCAGCCGCCTCCATCCGCGTTGCCGCCTCTTTTGCGCGCAACTGCTCTGCCGAGGCCTCAGACGAAGCAGCCCTGGCCACTGCAGCCGACAGCTGCTGCTGCAGAGCAGCACACTGCTCGTTTGCGGCAGCAAAGTCACGCTCCAATGCGCCGATGCGAACTGTGGCAGCGTCCAGCTGTGACTGCAACTCTGCAACAGCGGCCTCCTCTGCTTTAATAGCGGCTTTTGCGCCCGTTGATTCTGTGGCGGCCGCTTCCATCGCCCGCTGGTGCTCTGTCCGCAGCGCCTCCAGCTGCGCCTCAAGTTCCCCAGCGTGCCTTTCCACGGCATTACGCGCGGCCGCCTGCAACTGCTCGCCCTTCTCCACCTCTGCCAAGCGTTTCTGCAGCCGCTGCAGCGCCGCCTCTCCCTCCAGCACCGCCTCAGCTGCGGCGGCGGCCGCCACGTCCGCAACTTTACGCCGCTCGCTCTCCAACTCGCCGCGCAGCTTTTGGACCTCCGCTTCGAGAGCTGCCATGTCAGGCGAGCCCGAAGCGGTTGCGCCGGAAGAGCGCGACCCAAGCTTGCGCTCCGCCTCCTGCAGCTTGTCATTCGCCTCCTCCAATTGCTCCTCAAGCTCCGCGATGCGCCACTCAAGGGCCTCCGCGCTGCTGTTGCCGCCGCCGCCGCTCCCGCCACCGTGGGCCGTGCGCGCCTTGTCACACGCAGCCCGCAGCTCCTCTGCCTCCTCCTCTAGCTCCTTGATCACATTGCGAGCGTGGGCCAGCTGTTCGCGCAGCGCCGCCGCCTCATCGCCGCTCCTGCCGCCGCCATCGCTGCGGCGTTCCATCGCTGCCGCGCGCAGCTGCCGCACCTGCTCCTGCGCGGCCATAAGCTGGCCGTGCAGCTCCCTCAGCTGCTCATTGTGCGTCGCCTCTGCATGGCGTGCTGATGAGGCCATTTTCGACATGAGGTCCTCCACCTGACACCTGCGGCCACGGAAAACAAAGCCCAGCGCGTCACCCAAACTTATGTCCCTAAAATCCCTGAAGACAGCGGCGGGCGTTTTGCCGCTGATCTGCCGTGGTTTGCACCCACCTGAGGCGCGCGTTGTCTGCTCGCAGCCCTGCTGTCTGTCCGTTACGTTCCGCCAGTGCAGAAGTGAGCTCGTCGATCCTCTTCTGCTGCTCCTGAATCACCTGAATCGCCAGCACGAGGGCGGGTGTAGAGGGAGGGGGTAGCCGTGAGGAACCCTGAACGATGAATGAAGACTCCAGTTATCGTTCGCGACCGGCGGACCCGCCTTTTATGTGATTGCTTAACCCAGCGTTAGCAGTACATAGTGCTGCCAGGGCATCTGCACGTTGCCTAGGGCGGGTGTCTGAGATGCCTTGGCTGCTTCTCTTCCCTGTGGAGTCCTTACATTCGACGTCCATACGGTGTCGACGACGAGGAGGAAGCACAGCGCGTTTCAGGTCTCAGCCAGCTGCCTACTTATCGCCCAAGCTCTGCCGACTCAACACGGACGCAGGAAACCGCCCCACTTAAGAAACCCACTGGGAAACAAAACAGCGTCGATGTTCTTCAGCACTTGATCCCCATGTTCGTCCCGCGTTTACGCGGAGCAGCAGAATTGCAGTGCCAGCGCGCCCCCCAATACTACCGCACCACTCACCTTGGGCAACAAGGGCTGCATGCCGTCGGTGCCCTTGAGCGCAAATAGCAGCTTAACCTCCATGTCGCTCACCAGCCCCCGCAGCCGGGCAGCCTCCTCTGCAAAGCCTCGCGCCTCCTCCAGCTCCGCCTGAAGCATCCCGTTCTTTACCTGCACGTGCTCATGGGTTGGCAAACGAATGGGTTTAGTGGACACGCCCCAGGGCGCAGGTAACCACGGATGAGGCCATGCTGACGGATTGGAGACTCGGGAATGCAGCGCGAGCCATGCTGTGCGCAAGTGTGCGTAGCGCGAGTGTTAGCACCCAAGGGCCAGCATCGGGACAGGGACATGGGGACGTGCACAGGGGATCCAGGGCTCACATAGGCTCACATAGCCATTTAATAACGGAGACCGAACCTTGAGAACCTGGGTGCACCGACTGGGTGCACTGCAATACGAAGATGTGCATGCGAGAGTTTACTCCTTCCTGATGGGTCGCGAGGTGTACGCCAGCAAAGGCGATTCGTGTGCGCTCTTCGTTTTCCTGCCCCCGTTTACCTAGCCTTAAGCACACGAGCCGCCTGTGGAGTACCGCCCCACCGTATACCGGAGGGAAATTCGCCCACCGTACCTGTAACTGGACCACTTGCTGACGCAGGACTGCGCCCTCCTCATCTGCACTGTACGGCTCCTGCGGCGGCAGGGTTGGGATGTGTTGATACTAGTAGTGTATTGTCGCGTTGCGTGCAGTTTCGGGTGCAGCCGCAAGCAAGTCACTAGCAAGGGGCAATGTAGCCGTGAAGGTATTTATTCTGTGCCGGCCGTTGAAGTGTGCAGGCAGTACCCTCCTTCCCCAGCAGCCGAGCAAGTGCGGAGGATGCTATGCAGGAAACATCCTTGATAGTATAGGGCATTCCAAATGACCTGTGTAGCCATGTCAGGGCCCATACGGTACTTCTGGATCCGCTGGCGGAATAGGCCTAGCAGTGCCCAGCTTCTTTCCCCCTGCCTGAACTGGCTCATTAGACGCAAGGGGTAACCGCACCTGCAGCTGTAGTTGTGATTCCACCGGCAAAGCAAAGCCACTTGTGACTCCACCGGCGGACATTGGGTCCCTTGATCGCGCAAGTTCTGGCGTGGAGCCTGTGATGCAACAGGTTTCAATGAGGCTACCGCATAGAAGGGTGCACGAACCACCTTCTTAAGAAATTCTACTTTTTATGTAACAAGAGTTGGACCCCACAGCTGCCCCAAAAAACACTCCAAGCGATCGCCCAACTCGAAATTGCCCTTCAAGCACAGCGGCCCGCGAAGTTCAGACTCAATCGTCACCTGGTGGAGCATTTTTAGGCAAACCCTGACCAAGTATGCCTTGAGCCTTTGTCGCAAGGGTCCCAAGCCCCTCCTGTAAATTCTTGCCGACAGCCCCACTAGCAAACTGTGTCATAAAACCCTTCATCTTAATAGTGTTGTCAGTCGTATGTCGACATGTCAGTAACACCTATTTCTCTCTTTGTCCATAAGGCAGACTTAAGGGTCACTTTTTACTGGTCTTGGCTTGACAGCTGCAAAGTTCTGTAGTTAAACCATGGAAGAACAGTTGGTGGGCTTTGGGCTTCTTGCTGCAACGCTTAGCGCAAAACCACGACGGCTTAATGAACGTCAGTACGACGCAGCACGCAGCACGCGCAGCTGCCAGCAAATGCATACGGGATGCTGGTGCCCTTAAATACGTTTACTTTAACAGTCGGTTTTCGTTTTGCTGTCGTATACCCAAGTCACAGCCGCTTTTTCATCCTGTGCATCCCGGTTCCAAGAGTTAACGAAAAGGGTGATAACTGCAGGCATAGGATGGATAAGTCTTGAAAATATAACAATAAATTGTCATCACGGGCTAAGCTACGGGGAATCAGCATTACACACCACGATTGCATGTGCTGCCGCCCACACACCACTGTAACAACCCCCGCCTTCCCCCCATACACAGACCTCCGTCGGCGCCTATCCACAATGCTTCATTCATAGTGGTAGTGCAGCCTTCTTCTGCCTCCGATCATAACTAAATTCCCCGCTGAGAGCGCATGCACAGGCCTAAGGTGACGCCGTGACAAGGTTTAGAACCGAACATCGCATGACGGGAACGGCCGTTTAGATGGGCACTGGAATCCAGGACGCCTCTATACATTTGTCCAGTTTGCACTTCGATGCACATCAACTCGCGGAGGCGCATGTGAGTCAAAACGGCGTGTGGGATGCGCTACCCGGTCCTTCACGCGTGCGGCTAGCTGAAGACACCCGTGAGAGCTGCTGTGGATGCGCTAAGGCATTGCCTTGTACCTTGGCACACGGACACGGGACGGAAGTTGCTGTTAGGAACTGACGAAGCCAGTCCACCTTACGTGGTTTCCGCAGTCCCAGAGCGGTGGGAAGGGAAGGGTAAATAGCAGCTGAGGTTTGATAACGAGGGCCATTGAGCGCCATTCTGCACGGCGTCCTGACTAGTACACATTCAGCACTTTTACTCGTACTCTTACGATGGCTCAATTCCTTGAGACATTTTTGGCTAGGCGGGTGACGGCCCTACGCGCTGGGATGCGGTGGCGCGGGCTGGGAAGTACTCATAAGTAGGCACGGACTGGGAAGTATGGCTATTGACTTATGGGTTTCGTCGGCAGCAGGGCTGCAATGAGGTGAGCTGAACTAACTGCCCACAAAGCCAGGCGCGCTGGCAGCTGTGCAAAGATCCGTGACGAGGTCCCTTGACGAACAGTACGGCGTCCTGTCGCGGCGTTTCGCGTTCGATGCATGGAGTTACTTGGCATTCTCATAGTCGATACGGAAAGCGTCCCATGACCATGTGATGCAGGCTTTGAGCAGCATGCTTTTGGCATGTGAATATGAGCTCCTCCTTAGGCTACCCATCTCGTTACATCGAGACGCTGTTCCGCTCTGTCTCTCCAAACAAGCTTGATTTGCAAACCGTACTTTCCAACATAACTTCGGCCACAGCGGCAGCATCAGCCGGACCCCTCGACCACTTCTATGCGCGTATTGGTGCTCTGAATGGCCCATTTTTTCCCGCTGGATGGGGTAATCTCAGTGTCGTCAATTATGAGGAGGACCTTCGGCATCTCATCGCGGGACCACCTTCAAATATCAAGGTACATCTCGGCCTTTCAACGACAGGGATTTCTCAGGTAGTACAACAGAGGAAATTCTAATTAATCCATAATTTGTCGATATGATCTGCAGCTGTCGTGGCGGCTGGTGGAACGGGGAAGACGCAATGGGATGGACTATCTGCTCTACGAGGGCACGTTCAGGTTCGTGGGACATTGAAAGCTGACAGCGCTAACCAGACACTTAGAGCAGAACCTTCTGAAGTTTCACATGCCTATGCATGGCATGTGGTGGAGCCTGTGCCTGCGAGAACGTTTACGCATGGTGCGGTCCCAAAGGGGACTGGCCTCCGCCCACCGCTTCCCATAGCAACGAGGGTAGGCTGCGCTCTTTTCCTACCCTTTCCCCCTTCCCCCTACTCCTTTCCCCCTTCCACCAATGTAGGACACCGTGCTTGCAGCGCGTCTTCGACGCCCTTCCACCAGAGAGCCGCACCGGGCGCGTGCAGCTGCTCATGCCAGCTCGCCTCAAGCCCTTTGAGCCCAGCTCAGAAACCGCCTTCCCAAGTAATAGCTTTAGCTCAAGCTCGCTCCAGCGACCACATCTCGCGCAGGAAAACGCACCGGGCGTCAGCAGCGCAGATTCAGGCAGGGTAGACCTGCACCGGCTTCATCGCAGCGGCCCTGTCATCAGGCCCCTGGACGCCCCCGCCTGTGTGGTGCACTTGGCGGCCACTGGGGACCAGACCTTTGGACGGCGGCTCCGTCTAGGGTTCCCGCTTCTGAAAGACGTGGGTAGGGCCGGCATGATCTGGGGGCGCGGGCCCGGGCCCCGCAGCTTGCCCAGCACACCGCTGCTTGCAAATTTGTCATACACCAGCCATCGCCTCGTCCTTACATTCGGCCCCTTATGCTGCACCCTCCTCCTCGCGCACGCCTCTCGCCGGCCGTTGTGTGACAGAACGTGTGTTCGCTGGTGCTTGAGAGCCCTTTTTACGGCGCCCGCCGACCAGCCGCGCAGCGCGGCTCCAAATTGCTGCGTGTGTCTGACCTGCTGACTCTGGGCTGGGCCACTATTGCTGAGAGCATCAATCTGCTGCACTGGCTGCGAGAGGAGGGATACGGGGCACTGGGTGAGCGGCTGCAGTTCGGGAAAGGATTGTTGAGATTGTTTGGGAACAGGTGACGAGAGTAGTATAGAAGGCAAGGGGTCGGACTTAGGAAGGCTGCACTCGCCGACGCCCGTAAGGCAAGGCGCACAGGCGCACGGAGAGGGATCCGAAACCGATATCAATCCCCGCGGTTTTGGTTCCCGGTCGTCGTGCTGATGCTCTCCAACACTTGGCAATCTTCCTCCGATTTGACATTGCCGCTGCTGCTGCGGCTGCTGCCGATGATGTTATGACGATGACGAAAGCGTTAGTATGATCCTAATGTTGATCATGCTGCTGCTGCTGTTGCTGATTATGATGATAGTTTATGATGATCATGATCCTGGTGGTGAGAATGATGTTTATATGATGATGACCATGATATAGACAATGCTCATGGGGATCACGATACTGATGATAATCCTGATGATCATGATGATGTTGCTTTCGTTTCCCCCAGGCATGTGCGGTCTGTCTATGGGCGGAGTGCACGCCAGCATGACGGCGGGGCTGTTCCCCGGGGATGTGGCGGTCACACCGCTGCTGGCGCCTCGGTCCGCGGCGGTGGCCTACTGCGACGGAGCCATGCGGGTGGGTGGCTGAGTGGTGTGGACGACAGGGGCGGGACAGCTGCTGGGGGCTTTGATTAGGCGAGGGTGGCGACCCCGGGATCAGGGTTTGAGCTGCCAGGGGGCCCTGCCAAGCAGGTAGGTGAGCAGGTAGGTGCACAGAGTGTAGTGTATTTTGTCCTTATTTCGGTATTGGGCCTTATGAGGGCAAACCTACGAGGTGCTGTCACTTACTGGTTTCCATGGAATCGCAGCCGCAGCCGCAGCCGCTCCGCCGGTGTTGAGTGGATGGCCGTGGTGGCAACTACCTCGTTTTCGGCCTTCAACAGGGGCCGCAGCGGGTTCTCAGCATTACCTCACCATTGCGGGGCCTGAACCGGGGGATGCGGATGATGCGGGTGTGGGTACGGGTGCGGGTTCCCTTCCTTTGTGGGGTCTGAACTTAATTAGGAAGTCTGGAAGTCGGTCATAGGCTGCTGTCGCGGTTGCTGTCGCTGTCCCTGCTGCTGCTGCTGTAGTCACAGCTGGCAGATTCGGTCCCCGGTGCCCCTAGCCCGACCGCGTTTAAATCCAATCCCCCCAACCGGCATATAACTCCCCACCCAACCCGGCAGGCCGCCATGGCCTGGGAGCCCCTGTTGAAGGAGGTGGACGAAAACAACAACCGCATCACACAGGTACGGCGGCGCGGCAGAGATCAAGCCCGTGGTGGTGCACCCTTTGTACCCGCGTTCGTGGACATGTGGAGTTTAAATGGATTGGGATTATGACATCGATGAAGCTTTAGCTTACACATGGCTCTTGTCACATGTTACATGGCTCGACTTCTCTAAGTGCTCGACTTGGGAATCCCGCGGCTTCGCCTCGGGATGCGCTTTTCGTAAGCGATGCTGTGGCGTCTTCCGTTGTCTTTAAACATTACGGACGCTAAAGGCATTCTATGTGCGGGTGGGGCTGCGCGGGCACGGGGTCCAGATGGTGATGGCCGCCGGCCGTGCAGTGCATATTGCGGTCCCGCTGGCAGGGGCAGCAGCCGCGGCGGCGGGTGGCGGCAGCGGGGCTTCTTGTACGGCGAGTGGTCCAGCCCCGGCGGTGGCCCTCATGCGGGAAGCCACCTATGCACTCTCTGACTTGGAGGTGCGCGGGGAAAAGCGCCACTTGGACTCGGGAGCGGAAGAAGCCGCGGCTGCCGCCGCCGCCGCTGCCGCCGCGTTAACCAGGGCAAGGTCTGAACCTGGCTTGGAGCCTGCGGCCGCGGCCGCGGCTGCAGCGGCGGCTGCCGGCGGCGGCGGAGGAGGTTCTTGTGGGACCGCGGACGGAGCCGCAACAACCTCTGGGGCGCGGGAAGCTGTCGGGCCGCAGGCTGTGGTGCCGGCCAACGGCGCGGGTGGGAGCGGGAGGGGGGCCTCGGGAGTCAGCGTGTTCCGCGGCCTGCAGTTCGTCAGCGTCATGGACGTGCAGGGCGGCTTGGCGCGGGCGTTCCTGTCGGGCGGCATCGGCAGACGCGGCGATGACGGCGCGCCCGCGTCTGCGGCGCAACAACAACAACAACAACAACAACATAACACTTTGAGTGCCGTTGCACCAGAATGCTCGGCTGTGGGGCGTGGTCGTCAACAGCCCGCGGATGACTACGCGGGGCCCTTCTCCGGCCTCATTCAGCGGCACCCAATGCAGCGGGATAGCACCACGGCCGTCAACGCACACGACGGACATCACCGTCAGCACCAGCTCCAGGAGCCGGGACAGTGTAACCAGCAGCACCGGCCACAAGGGACCTCAGTTGCCCTGGCCGCGGCGGCAGCTCCGTCAGCAGGGTGCCACCGGCCACACCCTTCCCCTCACCAGCCTGACATGCCCTTCCCGCAGTCACCGCAGCAGCAGCAGCAGCAGCAGTCCCCGAAGGACATGGCGCCAGGGGTCACAGCCACCGCCCCTGCTGCCGCCGCCACCGCCACTGCTGCTGCTGCCGGAGGCGGTAGCAATGGCGGCGGCACGGCGATAGGTCGGCGGCTGCTTGGCGATCTGGGTCGCGCTGTGAAGCAGCTGAGAGCGGGTGATCGCCGGCTGGACCGACCGGAGACGGTGTTGCGGCTGAAGCAGGTGCTGGAGACGTACACGGACATCACCAGGTACCCCCGGTGAGTGAGTGAGTGAGTGAGCGGTTGGAACGCATCCAAAAAACGCGAATGCGCTTTGTGGGTGAACGGGTAGGCAGGGTGCATGGTTGGCCAATTGCGATGCACAATCCCCGGGGACCGATCCACTAGTCACATCCAAAACCTGATCATGTAATAAGTTTTTGGATCGACCCGTCACTTGACAATCGTCCCCTTGTCGCCCATGGTCCACCCATGTCCTTCCTCTTGGAACGCCGCACAGCCCTAGGCGCACCGATGCAGCGGTCATTGTAGCTGCCCGGGACGACGCTTACGTGAGCTGCGAGAGTGTTCAGCAGTTGCACCGCTACTGGCAGGGCAGCGAGCTGAGGATGGTGACGGGCGGCCACGTCAGTGCCTTTTTGATGCACCAGGGGGTCTTCAGGGAGGCGATCAGGGAGTCCTTGGTGAGGGTCGCCAGGCCGCCGCCGCCGCCCCCGCCACCGCAGGCGTAGCCTTAGCCGTGACCCACCATCGTCCGCCACTGCTGCACAGCTGCCGCAGTTTGTATCTGCAGCCACTTCACCCACATCCATGTCCGCGCACCGGCTCTCCTGACATACACGGTATGAAGCTGGACCCCTTCTGGCTGCTGGCCGCTGCGAGCAGAGCCTCCAGGTTTTCGCCTCCAGATGGCTCTGTTTTGTCTCTCGTGGGCGGGTTATTGAGCCCACAGACAATGATGGCTTAGTTGGGGCTGCAGCAGCAACAAAAAGGGGGCGCCAAACTACCGTATGGATGGATGCATAGCGTGCTGGTGCGCTATGCAGACACATGTCGTTTTTTTGGCTTATAAACAACAATTTGTGTACTGCGACACCTTTTTTGTACAGGTGTAACCAGGCTACGGCAGCTGGCTATGTTGTAGGTGTAGCAATTCGCCGGCACGTACTCTCACGTGCTAGGGTGGAATAATGTGTGCACGATGACTGTGGCTTACATCCTTATAGTTTTAGTACTCGGCTTCTTCCCCCTGTTGGGCGCTCAGGACGGAGAGAGATGCTGCATTGTGTGAGAGGTTGTAAAGCAGAGTGGAGAGTTGTCTGTGGCGCTTTCTTCTCTTTTTACAGCTCCCCCTTGGAAGTAATGGATGTTGGAGGAAGTCATCCTGTCGTCCAGCACCGACAGGGCATGCTTCAGTGGGCGTGTGCTGGGGTGCCGGGTTGGGCGGTAGTGAATCAAATGGTGGGCTTAGGTGAGCAGCTAAGCAGGGAGCGGTCCGAGGCCGCTGGCGGTTTGCTGCTGGCGGTTTGCGATTTGCGTTGGTGGTTGGTAATATGCATATGCTGGAGCTGCTGAAATGAAACCAGCGGACGATTGGGCTTACATCTCAAGACGGATTGCAATGTATTGGACCGGATGTATGGATATGGAGGGTTGGATAATGGGAGGGAGGGATGTGGCATGCGTGGTGGGGAGGTTATATGTGTGTGTGTGTTTAGGTCTGCACCATCACTGACGTACATATTGCTGCCAAATACCAAATGGTGGTTGGGTCCAGTGGGGACGGACGAGGTGAGCTGGGCCTGAGACATGGAGCGGACGTTCTTGTCACCGTTGTGATCGGGAGAAGAGATGCGCAATGTCACTACATGCATTATCGGGGTACTGAAATGGCGGCAGCTAGGCAAGGTAGGGTCTTCTTTTGAGCCGCGTTTAGTAAATCAGAGACGAAGCGAAGCAAGTCGAAGGAGGCCTTGTAACTGCGCGAGAAAGTGGTAATGGTGAATTGTGAGACAGTCACACCATGGCCATATAAAGAATCCTCCATAGCCACGTAACCGTGTAACAATAGAAATGATGTCATGGGTTATACACAGGCGTGTAATTTATGATCTGGTCCACCGGACGACATGCGGCGCTGTTAGCCCGCCTTAATGTCGACGGGGTACAATCAGCTCCTGGAGAGGTGATGTACGAGGGCACTGCACTGCACAGTACATTGGGACCGTAAATGCCTTTGGCTTTGGAACAGGAAGCAGCCTACCCATCCAACCATCTAGCCAACCAGCATTTGCCTTTAACCAGTACTTTGGGGGGAATGTCACACTACGCCTTTTGCACGTTGTCTCACAATTGAACGATGAAGGACAGGACTCAACCACAGTCGAGTCCCCGACAGAAAATCACACATCAGGCCCAAATCAAGGACCGGGTCATCTACAGAATGATTGTTGATTTTTGGGTTACGTGCTTTCACTGCATTAGGCTGATAGTTGAGGACAATCTGCTTTGCGTGGATCGGTTCACAGACGCAGGTGATCGGTGATTCACCCCTGGGTGATTTTTCAGACACAGCTTGGTGGGAAGGCGGTCCCGTGTGTATTTGGCCGCACTTCTTCACAACGAGGCAACACTAAAATGCCGGTATTTGTAGGCATGAGTTTGTCATTCATAGGGGAGCCATATTTGAAAAATCCCCCTGTTGGCATCAGTGCTAGCCTGGTCTTAATCGTATCCGAGCTTGCTGGGGTGTTGTGCGTGCCGATACGGACCACTTGATATTCCATTACAGGCCTGTGTCTATTCACAGCGACAGGCGATGTGCCCTTTGGCTCGGTTTCTTGCCTTACGGTATAGAAACTCGGTAGCCCGCAATAACAATAACAACAACAACAACAACTGGCTGGTGTGAGTGAGTAAGGCGCGCGTGTAGGAACAGACGAACGTAGCCGCACGCCGGCCCCTGCGCTGTGTTTCGGCCCGGTCCGGTCCGGGCCCAGGACGAGGCGCCCACAGTGGCGCCCACGGGGCGCCCCATCAACAGCAACAACAACAACACAACAACAACAACGACAGTTATCGATAGGAGCAAGTGATCAACAGCATTTATGCGTATGTCTCATGCTATGTACGGCCGGAAAAAAAGCAAAGCTGCATAGGCTGCGCGCGTACGAGAGTGTACCATCACTGCGCCGTACGGGCGAAATGATATCGGAGCACCTACACAGCGTTCCCCCGCACACCCTGTACATCTACGTTACCCGCCACTGGACAACTCGACAGCAAACGCACATCGGGATTGCATCTCATCTTGGGCTACGGATCGAGCGGCTCAAAGCACAATTTCTTCTACGACATTCCCTTTATCCCCCTCCTTACGAATCGCGTTGCCTCGGACCTCCTAAGACTTACAGGCTCCCCATGAACTCACAAAATCCAGGCACGGAACCCCGGCCTCCCCCTCGGAGCGCTCTCACTCCAAAGACCCACCCTTTGTGATAGCTATATTTGATTTATACGCAGTCCACGCACGCCTGGCTTACCTCGTCCTCCCGAACCAAAAAACCTGACGGCCTTGCGAAGTATTGGGAGCCAATCGACCGTCGGCTATGTATCGTAAGAAGAACCCGACCGATCATCGACATGCTATTGACACTGCGGTCTCAGCAGCTATTGCGAACAACAACCTAACTGACAAAACAACTGTGCTTCCTGCAACTTTGCTATATGTATATGTATACTGATGCTGATGCTCACACTGCCCCAAAGCTGCCGCCGTCCATCCATGCTTCTTTCCAGCCAACATGCCAGCTGATACGGTAATCTCAGCCATCCTATTCATCCATCGGTCAGCCCCTTTATGCCATCCTGCCAGCCCAGCCCAGTTGGCCAATCTGCCAGTTCACTGGCCACCCAGAACTGTATTACTGCTATTGCAGCTGTGCACCGGGCAGTTAGCGGTTAGTCATCCGCAGAGCAGTTGCAGCCACCAAGCTAGCCAACCTGGCGTTTATAGCCCCCAACCGTAGGGCGCTAATGGGCTCCTGCTATTATTGCTTCTACCTGCTGCGCGCCAGCAGTTCGCACAATTGTATAGCGGGTCCGGCCAACCACTTGCGGTTCTGGACCAGGTCCTCGTTCAGCTGGGTGACGAACTGGCTGCCGAGGAGGTCTGGGAAGTCGCCGGCCCACGTCTGAAAGAGAGGAGCGAGAGGGGTGGGTGGGTGCACCCACCCGGGTATATAGCAACTCAACAGGGTATATAGCAACGGATGGTGGGCGGGCGCGAGCACTTGGGACCGCTGCTGCGAAGACTGGTGGATGATGCACCGATGGGGGGGAGGGCGGCAGCGGCAGGAGCGGCACACAGCCGGTACCTTCCACCACCGGTACGCCTTCCACCGACCCCCTCTTTCCGCGGCTCAACGGTAGGGCAGGGAAGCGCGGCCACTCAGGCGGCCCACAGCGCTCAGCATCACCCAGCATCAACCCCACCCCGCTGCAGCCACTCCGCTGCCGGCCAACATACCCCCCCCCACACACACACACATACATACATACACACACAATCCCAATGCATGTATCGCACACATACATACACACAAACCACCTCTCGCTGCACGCTTGGTCCCCGGCATCGTGTCTTGATCGGTTGTTTTACAAATTACAAAGACAACGCCGCTTTCATCAGCCCCACAACATCCCTAGCCCCCCGTCTCCCGCTCCCACTCCCGCGCTCAGACCCACTTACCGTAATCCTATTGGCTTGCTCCTCAGAGACCACGAACTTCGTCAGGTCCCCGATGGCGCCACCCAGTCCGTAGCTTGGCGGAGAGCCCTCATCACTGCCCTTGCCGGCGTTGTAGCGGGTTAGCAGGCCGGAAATGTTGGCCATCACGAACTCCCAGGTGGCCATGAGAGCAGCACCGCCGCGACTGCCCACCTGCCGTTAAAGACACACACACATACACACACATACATGCATACACACACACACACACAGGGGAATAAAGGCACATGTAGGTGTACTCACTGCGCAATTGATTGAAATACATGGATAAGCTCAGACGGGGTTTGGGATTTGGAAGGGTCCGCCAGTTGCGAGATTGCTATCGGATTGTTCGTCTCTTGACAGTCTCCCCGTTGTCCGGCTCTTCGGGATCTGTTTCCCCTGCTTTGTCTACCTTCCACTAACGTTATCGTGTTGACTGATGAACTGCACAAACACATACACACACATATACACTCAGTTTTGCTTAAAAGCGTTAAGGACGCAAACCCATGCACGCGGAAGTGTCTGATCCGGACACCCCCCACCCCCCAACCAGCGCCTTGCGCAGCAACCTCGCATGAGTCATGCACTATGGCCAACCAGAGAACCCCCGTGCTGTGTCAACTGCCCTCATATACCCTCCTGCCGAACACTGCTTCCCCCCGGCCGTAGTCCGCCCTTTTCCGACCCACCTGCCGCAATATGGTTGCAATATCCTTCAGCGGCAGTCCTTCCTGGAGAGACAGGTTTAATGTGAGGGCCAGCTGGTCGCCCGGTCGGGCCTGGGCCAGGGCGTACAATACACGGGCCTGCTCCGAGGCGTCGTCCCGTAACTGCCACAATCAGAGAGAAGAAGGGCAACGTCGGACGACACGAGGGGGCGGGCGGGCGGGTCTGGGGTTTCCATGGACAGGCCATACA